CACAGAGAAGATTAACTACAGACCCTGACACAGTTTAACTCCTCGTAGGGTGTTGACAAATAGTTAAGAGGGATAGTCAGTATTCCGGCCACTGGGCCTCTCCCACATAGACAAGAGAAATGAAATGGGGGGGGGAGGGGCATGTCTATTGCGTCACTGTATTGGCCTTATTGGGTCTGCAGTTGTCCAAACTTTTTTGCACCATTGTTTTCTCAGTGGAGGTAAACAAAAGTGTAGCCAAACCCTTTAATGGTTCTGTCTTACTAAACAGTAACTAAACAGATGTCCATTTACAACAAGTGCACTTTCAAAAATCTGCTTTTTGTGCAAAGCAGTGAAATGAAAGTTTTAACTAAGTTAAGTTTAATCTAAAAATCTTTTCTGATCTGATCTGTGTGTTAAACCTGAGAAATTAAACATGTTGCATAACATAAACATGTAAACTGTTTTATAAGATAAATAAATAAAATCAAATATTTACTATGGTCATATAACAGACTAGTCTACAGCTATGCAAGTAGCTACAGTATGTGAGGCTGGCACACTGGTGCTTTGAGCAAAATTCTAACATCAGCATGCTAAAATGCTCACAATGTAAAAATATCTGGTAATGTTCACCATGTTCACCATATTAAGTGAGCTTGATGCTCGTTTATATGCTAACATTTGCTAATTAGCACTAAAGTCCATCTTAGGTTGATGGGAATGTTATTAGTTATAGGTATTTGGGTCGTAAACCAAATTATTGGACAAATCAAAATTCTGACCTGATTGAAGTTATTAAAGTTCATCCTCTGGGGACCATGAATGTCAATATCAAATTTGGTGCTAATACATCAGTTAAATCATGAGATACTTCACACGATAAGTTAAAACTTTGACCTGCTGGTGGAACTAGAGGAAAGGTCAGGGGATCACAGGGGATGATTCTTCCACTGGGCAGCATAAATTCAGAATTTCATGACAATCCATCCATCCATGCCGAATTGCATTTAAAAACAAGAAAATATTGCCTCTACACAAGTGCTTAAATGTGGCTTTGCTAAATAATCTAAAAATGTCAGAAAAATCACACTGCTATAAATTAAACACATTTACATTGGAATAACATTAGATTTATCACATTTTCATTTATCACAGAAAATGGAAATTAAAATTAAAATGTCAACAGAGCTTTTTAATCATACAGTTAAATTACAAATTGAATGTATAACAAGAAAGTCACTTGTAAGGTATGCAGTGCTTGAATAAGAAAACGATTGCAAAAGACAGATACAGATACAGATTTGAACAGTATGTGCTACATTTAGTTAAAACATGCAGATCAGATAAAGACTTCTTGCAGTGGTGAGGTGTGAAATATCTACTTGTCAATATTTTGTCCAATGTGTGGTAACTTCTTCACAACCCTGTCATCCAAAGTCCCAAAACCAAAATAATTGTCTCTTTCAGGAATCCATGAAAGCTACAGATGCTTTCTACTAGTGGAAAGACATTACACTAAAGGTCCAGCCTTTGAAGATCTTTGTACATTAAAGCCCTAATGACAATGAGAATCTGTAAAGGTCAGGACGAGCTGAAAACAGCAGTGCTTGTAAAAGCTAAATGATTGTCAAAGGCTCTGAAGTGGTTGAGACATTATAAACTGCCCAGCCTTTCCTTCTTATCTTTGAGGTCACAACACCAATGGTTTAAATAATCCCGCATACATTGGGATTTAATATTTTAGCTGCACAAAAGATGGGTCTGATATCTCACAATGCATATACAAGAAGATACAAGATTTAGGTCAGTTAATGTTTGCTCTTTGGTATATAAAAAGTATTATGAGCTTTAAATAAATCATCACTTTAACCAGGAAAAGAAACACGGAAAGGAAGAGTGCTTTGGAGAATGTGTTTAAAAAGTGTTTAAACAGATTCTTAAAGATGTCCATTACCAGGTCATGGACAGTTTGGACATAGTCACAGAGATGCATAGATGCTTGCTGACTTTTTAAAATTTTAAAATAAATACAGATATTCACTGTAGACATTCTCTGGGTTTTTACAGTCCAACTGTTAAAGAATAAAACATGTTATTTATAAAACATCTCTAGAATGTCAATCAGATGTATAAATCTGCACAAAAAAATTTAAACTGTTGTTTTCATACAGTATTATTTGGTAACTTCATAGGGTTATCCAATCCAATTGCAAAAACTCAAACAGATATCTGGATGTAAAACACACATAAACATTCAAATACTCTCCTTTAAAGCCCAATAGTATATTGAAAGCTTAAGGCTTTTATTTTATATGACTATCCAATCTATTTAAAGTAAATTCCTGTTAAACATTGGTACATCTCCTGCTTTGATGTGGCGAGGATCAGGATTCTCACTCCTCTCTCCCTGAGCGGCGCTAACGCTGCTTCCACAAACTTAAAAAGGAGCATCCAAACGTGAGTCAACAGTACTTGTAACACTGACCATCTACCACATACTTTCTGTGGCGTGACAAGATGGGGATGTATAAGGCAGGGCCTGTTTATGCTGAGATTTCTGTCTGTAGTGGTTCCGTTAGTGGTTATACATGCAACATGCAGTCCCAAACTGTGTCGGTCAAGCAGTCTAAAGGGGATAATTCTTCCAGCGAAGCAGTAAGTAGGCTAATGCACAGCAGAGTATAGGATTGGTTCTAATTAAATGATGACGTCCTTCACGTAATATTCTGCCTTTTTTCTCGACATGTCAGAGGACAGGATACAGATATGTGGGACATATTCTGAATGTGCAGTAAGTGAAAACACAGGAGAAAACAAATTAAAATTAACTTGAGTTAAAAAGATGCCACATGAAAAAGACACAAAAGAGGGGAGACTGAATCATGTCTGCGTGTGTGCTGACTCAGCAGGGATTTCATTAAATTACAAAAGTTGATCTACAGGAGAAACATAGGCTATTTAAAAGCAATAGCTACAGAATGCCCGAAAGCCTTACTGCATCATGTTCTGTACATTTTTTATATTTTGAATTGTAACCTCATGCCTGAATTTTGTGCTTTCTTGAGAAATTGAGACTTTTCCACTATAAATTGACGCAGAAAAGACAGAAATTGGTGCAGAAACTTTCACCAGAATGCAGGAAATGAAGTCAATGCTTGAAATTTCCTGGGGGAAGGACCCCCAGACCCTCCTCTTCATTTGAGTCCCCTCCACCATTGAAACAAAACCAGTTTATGGAGGGACTCATATAGGTTTGGTCTCCCAATTTAGGCTATGATGTTGAAGTTGACAAGTATGCTGATCACACTTCATTGTTGACCATGACTACTGACTTGGCTGTTCATCTATACATGCTAAAATTGGGAGTTTGCCTGCAGAATGTTTAAAACAATTCCTGAGTATAGAGGAGCGATGAAACCAACCCCTGAGGTGGACTTTTTAGGGTTGGGCATGGGGGGGGAACCAATTTAAAATCTCACCGAGGGCTCCAACATTGTCAGAGCTGGCCCTGATGGAAGGTCATGGATGGTCAGGTCCATAGGTCATCCAGTTGTCTGGCTGGATGCACTTCAGCAGCTGCTTTACTGTCAACATGTAAAAGGGTCTCTGCACAATTTCCTGAGTCCTGTTCTGTCCAGCCAGTCATGGAGAGGACTACAGAACTACTCCCACATCGGGTCACTGTCTGTGGCAGGGCAAAGAGTTTGGCTGGGAGAGGAAGAATGGGCCCACCTGTCACCAAGGGCGTAGAATTTAGTAGGGACATGTCTGTACCGATATCCAGCGACTACCGAATTGTCTCTAGTAGCCTATGATTTATTATATGCAAGGCTGCAGGGCAGCAACTTATCGATTAATCAATCATTTCTTTCAATTAATTGATTACTCATTTGGGCTTTGGCAAATTCTTTTGAATACTTTCTGACATTTTATACACAAAAGTGCAACCTAAAGTGTCTTATTCTGTCTTGACTGACAGTCCACAACCCAAAGATATCTAGTTTACTGTCTTAGAGGACAAAAGAAACCAGAAAATATTCACACTGGAAACTGGAACCAGAAAATTTTAGCATATTTTCTTCTTTACAGTACGTGAGCAAATGCTGTATAGCTGCCTAGTACACAGTTTCATACTATCAGTTCCAGTGGAGGAATTGAAAGTGGCATGCTTTCTCCAGTATCATTTCTGATTTCCACCAAATATATTTTACATGAAGCCTGGACTGTGTCAAAGGAATAATTGTAGACTTTGCTAGTTTTTAATAATCAGTTAAAACATTTAGACAATTTAAAAACCTAAAAATTTTCCAACCACAGACCAGCTAATTGCTACGCTAATTGGCTAGTGTATGTGTAGTCAGGCCAATTAGACCTTTAGATATGTGAAAGCCCTGGACAAATGAATTGCGAATTTTCAAACAATGAAAAGACTGTTCAATTGACATGTGCTATTTTTTAATGGAAATATATATATATATATAGTAAATGGAATTTTTATAAAAGCAATTAAATAATTTCCAAATATAATTTTGTGATTCCATTTTGAAAATCTGTAATTATTTTACTATACAAAGACAGAATAATTTAATGATTTGACTTTTAAAAATGTGTTTTACTTTTCATAATTGAAAATTACACTTGATTAATCAATTTGAATTTGTCTGACTGAGGTGGTGTTGTCTGAGAATGTGCCAGTAGGTGGTGATCTGTGCACATTTATTCCAAATTCTGCACCTGCTGAGCTCCTCTCAGTGAGATGCTTCACCTCTTGTATGATCTAAAATCAACATTTTTATAAAAGGAGTTGATCCATGTGATGCATTTCCTGTATTATTCTGAGCAGGAGAACTGGGCGGTAGATATTCACTCCTCTGTGAAGATTAGTGGGTTTTATCCTAGGTATCTGCAGGATAAAGCCGGTGGCTTTCTCCACCAATGGGGAAAGTCAATATAGACCGGAGAGCATGAATACAGCATTTTGAAATAAACATAACATAAAACAGAAACAAAAAGTCTGAATGAGTCATGATAAGTTTTAATGATAACATATCTACAATATAAATCTGATAAAGGTGGTGTCTGTGGTGTCTGTGGTGTCAGTGTTTTCTTTGGTTTAGGACAGGAGGTAAAAAGGAACAGGCAGTGGGTAAAAACCACAAGCTAATAGAGTTGCTGAATGTTATCAGCAACTCTACTATAGAAGATATTGCTTTACATTTATCAACAGCACAATTAAAATATAAATAATTTGCTGAAATTGTTCATTTTAACTCTAAGTGGAAATGCCATTAACAAATCAGAAGTTCGTTTGAATCCCCGTTCAGTGTCAACATTTGATGTTACAATATATCAGTTATCACAATTCACCTATTATACTCTACAATAGATGCTGTTTACACCTGTTTCAGTGTGTGCATGGTGTTTTTGTTCCTCTATAAAAGGCTTACATCCTCTCATGTCTGTTCCTGTTTAGTTATTAACGTTTTTGGTTGAGTTAACCTCATAGTGGTTCACTAAAGTGACTATCTTTGAATACAAGTTAAATACAATAAATAAAAAAAGTAAAAAACCAATATCATTTTCAATTGCTGATTTATGGAATATACTGTAAAGGGCTGTCTGTTTACGTGCTCTGATCTCACTGAAGTCTCCAAACAGGTCGGATAGTCAGCTTTACCACAAATGCTGCCGCCGTCTTGAAGACCTGACACGAAGAGCTCGAATAACCTGAACAACCACAGAAAGAGACAGAGACAGTGCAGAATGAATTTGTTTCGTGAATTTTTCCATTTGAAAGAAGCCCACCCAGTAAGAAAAACAAAAAACCCTAAAGAGGTAGAGAGGCTGTTAGAGGAAATGGTATGTCAGAGCAGGAGTTAGCTCGCCCACAGTTGAGGTTGGGGGGTGGAGGGAGGGGAACCACTTTATATGTGTTTAAATGATGAATTAATTAATTCTTTCATTTATAAACTGAATCGCCTGTGTTTCAGCAGGTTTTCTGCTCATTTTGAAAACTTTCTGCTCATTCAAACTCTATCCCACATATCTGTGTTCTCTGACGTTTCAAGAACATAGTTGTAATAAAACAAAAATAACACTGTAATTTAATGAGAATAAAGCCATAATACTAATTATGTATATATTATAATAATAATTAACAATTTAACCGACCTATACTCTCGCCTCCCCTCAAGAGGCTAATCCCCTCTCGCCAGGCCATCCTTGTGAGTAAGAAGTTGTTCTTAAGTGTCCTGCCTGCTTAAATTAAAATAATAATATTTTATTGAAGTTATTGCTTTACTGATGTGTTCCCGTTTGGGACAGCATCGGATGAGGAAGTCCACATTCTTCACTTGGGCACAAATCAAATTCTGCTCTTACAAAACCTGCACACTCTCAAATGCTGACTTGAACAGTGCACACATTTGTTTCATGCACACTTACTCTTTTCACATTGATTTGCATCCATATCTCTGCTACCTTTCTTTTGACATTCTCACAACATATGCCTGATAAATAAAGAAATTAAGAGTTGATTGCTTGTCATAGGAATGATAGATGAGTCTTGATTGAGAACGTTTTGCTTCCTCTGCACTTGTCTCTTGTGGTGTTCCTCAAGTATCACTTTTAGGCCCTATTTAATTTTAATTATAAATGCTTCTACAGTCTGTTTCTAGAAAATGCAGCTATGCTTCCCCTTCATACCAGGTGAGGTGTGGGGGTTTCCAGTGTCTGGATGGTAACAGCTTTTTATTGATATATACAGAGGTTTTGTAACTCCTTAAATCAGTGGTTTAACTGTAACGTTTGTGTCACTTTTGAAAGATCACTCTGAAGTTAGATTTTTTCAAAATCAAATATTTTCTCTTTTTTTGAGACTGCCCTCCAAAGACAAACGACAGCATCAGTTGTTTCAGCAAGTGTCCCAAAATGATATGCTTATGTTCAAGTATCAAAACATCTAACTCTAGCTGACGTAGTAATTACCACGGCAACAAAGGAAGAATTAAGGTGATGTTATTATATACAGACGATGACTACTGTTCGTTTCCTGTTTCCAACCGTCAAAGTTGCTTTTAAAAGCATGACCAGGATTATTTTCCAAACCATTACATTATGTTGTTAATGTCACCATGATGACAAACCTCCCCTAACCCTGAAAAAGTCTTTTATCCCAAGCCATGATGTTTCCATAACCACTTATTTTAAGTCAAAACATGAATGTAACCAAGTCGTTTTTTTTGTGAACAGTGATTTGTAACTGTTTTGAAAGGGACAGAGAAGTTATGTTGTCCTGTTGTAATTTCATTTGAATCTATTTGTAAAGCACTATGGTCACATGCTTGGAAAATAAATTTCCTTGACTTGACCATGTTTGATTCATAACCTCCAACAAATCCATACAGTGTGTGCAGATAAACAGAGTTTATTTACCCAAATGCTGATTAGAGATAAAATTATTTTGGTGAGGCCCACTGCCACATAGCCTATAATGCTCCACATGAATGGCAGGTCCTCAACTTGTTTGTGGCAGGGCAGGTCAGAGTGAGTTGTGTTCAACACATTGGTCATTGTTGTCAGCTCAGCCTGGGTCGTACACTCTGTATTCAGACAAATTAAAACACAAAATTATCAGTCCAGACTGGTAGAAATCTATCACAGCAATAACTGTCGTTTGACACTGATTAAACATTATTTCTTTCTTTTTTTAAGTCAAACAGAGGTAGCATTTGTCTATTGGGAGACTTTGAAAAAGGAATAGTAGAATATCTATGTGTACAAAAAGGCATAGATGCCACAGTAGAAAAGGAAATATGCTGCCTTTTGATGTGGAAAATAACCAGTTTCACTAGCAGCTGCCATTAACATCTTGTCACTGCGTTAGAAATCAAAAGTTTAGAGATGATAAACGTGTCAACATGCAATCCAGATGTGTGAAGAAGAAGTGTGTACAGTCATATATTGTATAATATATATATAATTATGGTGGAAATGAAAGTCAGAGCTTACCATTAACCGTTAGAGCGACTTTGAGATACTTATTTTGACCTCCTACATTTGCACTGATGAAACATTCGTAGGTGCCCGAATCTTCAGGTGTCACACTGCGGAGGAACAGACTGTGTTTCTCTCCAAACCTGGCAGGACGACTGAAGTTGTAGTTCTGTGTGGTCTCCTCACCTTTAGCTCTCCTGATAATGCCACTTTTACCCTTGTTGGTCATCTGTTCAAATTAACAACCAAAAAGTCATTTTAGACCATGTAATGAAATCAAAGTCACTGATTTACAAAACTTTTTACTGTACCTTAAATTTAGCAACATTTATGTCTGAAAGCCTGAAATGGGTGACTGACCTTGTACCACGTCACTGAGAGGAAATCCATGCTGTCAATATCAACATCTGGACACTTAAGTGGGACATCTTCTTTGCAGCTTGCATGAATTTCTGGCAGACTCTGGGTTGCGTAATGCACCAGCAGCATCTGTGATAATCATACCACAGTGTTAAGAGCACAAGTATTTTAAATTAGTGCACACTGCATCAATTCACTGAACTACTTATCTAGTGGATGAAACAATTAATAAAATATTGAAAAAAATATTACATATTTTAATTATACTATAAAGTCAGACTTCACTCACCTTAATGAACAACACCTTTTGAGACATCTTCCACACTTAAACTGTCACTTGAGTTAGCTGTAAGTGGTGTTGCTTTCCCTCACTTCACTTGAAATGGAGTCAGTTTCCTGTCAAGGGGCACATTTCAACTATTAAGAGGCATTTACTGTACAATACACCACCATGTGGCAAAACTGTATTATTACTGTATTAATTCTTTGAGTTTTGGGTCACTTCCTCAGCACAGTTCAGATCTTTTAATGCCCCACGAGGACTTTTTTCAGCAAGACAGCTTAAAGTAATTACAAATAGTTTTATCTGGTTATGAAACAGTCTCAGTTTAATACTGATGCCTATATGAGTCGTATACAGGCATCAGTATTAAACTGATAGTCTTCCAGTCCCTGGAGCCGATTCCCCACAAAATCAGATGAAATTATGTAAAGTTTCACAGAGAGTAGTATGTTAAAAGGACACAAGAGGAGATTTTCCATTAGATAATTCTAATTTTGACGTTATATTTTATGGTTATGGCTGATACTGGGGCAAGATCAGCAAATAGAGACTAAAAGTTAGGATACCTCGGCCTTTGCTGCTTCAATTTTGACTGTTCTTTATAAGCAGACGGGGCACAGGCTGTCTAATTACATGTCAAATGCATTTTTCCCAAAACTGGTTTCTGTCATTTTAGGTATCTGTTATCACTCTGATGTTTGTTAAAGTGCAAATTTTCCTGTTACGATTGGTTTTAATTTATTAGTCGATGCTATTAAAAGTGGGTTTCACATCATTATTGATGTGTTGAGTCGGCAGTGTTTGGGCGGGACTTTGATACTAACCCCTTATCCCTGCGCAGACTCCATGGCTCTAAATGACATCACTAGAGCAACATGGCAGCGCCCATATCTAGGATATTTTGTTTTCATTTTTGTACAGTAGGAGGAAGTGGAGACGAGTCGTCCATCTTTATATAAAGTCTATGGTTTTGGCTGACCTCCAATGGTGCAGGGTCCGGTCCGGGGCCGTCATAGAGATGGATGTGATGCAATATTGTTTAAATGTGGGGATAATGGCACATATTTTCAGACAATCTCTCCAAAAAGACATTCATACTGTTTAAAACATGGAAAATTACAGAAAAGTCGGGTCAAAATAAAAAAAGATGAGAAAGATGAGAAAGAGGTTCAAACCCTTGAACCAGTCTCACCTCCACACAGCTGCATCATGATGGAAGAAGTGGGTGTTAATGTCAATATGTCGATATTACTGAAATGGTAGGACACAGCTCTCCCCAATGCACTGCTGGAATGGTGTGGAGGGATGAGGTCCGAATGTTTTCCGCATTAAAATGTCTAAAAATGCTTAGACCTACATTTTGTTGAGTTGTGTACTCACATTATCCCGAATGTTTTCAAACCCAGACAAATCCGTAATTTTAATAAAGCTAAGGTGCGTTTCATTTGGTCGCCTGTCAATGGTGTCTCCTTTGGATGATATAAAATCTTAGGCTCTCTGTGGGTATCTGGGCAGATTTTGGTGTATACAGGCTCGGAAACATTTTAGCTGGTCAGTGAGATGTATCTCTAGGAGACCGACTGTCTTACATACTGTAGGCTCACACCATTGACACACACAAACACACACTGTTATGAGGCTGGCTCATCCTGTTGTTTTCATCTCAGGGAACTCCCCATTGTCTGCCTTCAAGCATATTATTTGTATGTGTCGCTCTTGTTGACAAAGGAGGTCGATATATGGTTATTAATAGCAGACTGGCTTTATGGAAAAGGGAAGAGTGAGGTCTTTAGATTCCACCATCTGCATTCAACAATGCCTCATTCAGCAGCAGCTGGCACAGCGAGAGCAGGGACGTAGAAATTTACTGAGGTTACCACCAGATCATCAGTGGAAATGATTTTTTTTGTTTGCTTCCTATTGGACACCGGTAACTGCAGCTGTGAGCGGTTTTAGATTTATGACAGTGGGGTTAATCTCAGCATGAGAAATAAACAGCAAATACAAAAGCATGATACTTCACAGTTTTTAAATATCTCTCACTTGTTGGTCAGTGCAGATGTTCAGATATTCCAGTGCTCTATTTAGTTAAACAGCTTAATCAAGCACAAGGGAATTTTACAGTTATATAAATGATGTGTTATAAGGAAATAGCGTGTTTATTAACTTCAGTGACCAAAACTGCTGAAGCTTTAAGACTCATCAAAGTTGTGATTCTCTGAAGGTTTAATTGGTGTAAATGTGATTGAGTGCATGTGTGATATGTGCATGTATGTGTTTGATTCTGGCTCTCTGTGCTGTAGTTACAGGGTGTTGCACGCCAAAGTAAATCCCAGAGGTTGTTAGCACGCCCAGCTGCTGGTGGAGGTCTCCATGTTTCTGTCAGCGAGGTTGTTCACTGCACACTCTTTAGCCTCTGATTGAGGAAATCCTGACTGTTTGCTCTGTTTGCTGAAATGAAATGTCCCAATGGTTCCGCCATCTCTCCCACAGGTCCTGTATATAGAGACTTTCCCATGAAGACTCTGCATGTTTACAGGGGTTTGACAGATATATAGCTCTTTGATGGACCGTAACAGCGTCAATGTTTAAGTACTAGAGAGGCTGATATATTATATTTTATAGATAATTCAAGCAATTTTTTAATTAAACCCGGAATTGTACTGTTGTATTGTCAGGAGGAAAAATATCTAAAATGGTAATTAGAAAATACAGTTTTTTGGAGCAAGGAAGCATAACATAAAAAACTAAGTAAATACAAAAACACAACTGATGACATTAAAGGTGCTAGTACTATACACACACTGCAACAATATGAACAGGGACAAGCTCGAGGGGAACCAAGAGGTAGTTTATGGTACTACATTAGAATTAAGAGTATATATGACATGTGGGGAAAATGAACTTTTTAACCTGTTACACTTCACTTTTAGCGACCTCTATCTCTGACTAGGAGATGTTGTCAAATTTCTTAAAGAGAGGACGGTTCAGATTTATTATGACTGCGTTCCTAGTGATTTGTTAACTTAAAATGTCTGATAGTGAAGGCTGCTGCTCACCAATGACTTTAATCGCCACAGTGACAATGTTGTCCAGTTGTTTCATGTTTCACACATTCAAATTCCTGCACCATCAAATTGGTGAGAAGGTTGGGACTGATTTGGGGCTTTAAAATAACACAATTAGCTCTCTGTAAACATTTAACACATCTAACCTCCCCAGGAAATGCTGTCTTTGTTGCAATTTCTTGCAACCATATGACCATAACAAAATGCTTATAGCTTATTAGTAGGCTCGTTAGTTGCTCTTTAAGGCAGGATGAGGTTTGTAGAATAAACTCTGGACTACCTTAAAATTTAAAATCACTTAACAAAAGAATGCTATGTTGCAAGTACATCAATTAATGAAATAAAGACATAAAAAACACAGACATGAGAACTGTCACTACAATCTGAAGCACCAGCTGAAGCTCACTAACAAGACCCAACCTATGCCCACACTAAGGGTTCTTTGAGGTTTTACCTAGGCACAGTGGTGATTTGAGCCAAATGCTAATGGTAGCATGCTAACATGCTGATGTTCAGTGCATTCGGTGTAATGCATAACATTGTCACCATCTTAGTTTGCCATGTTAGCATGCTAACATTTGCTAATTAGCAATGAACACAAAGTACAGCTGTGGCTGATTGGAATGTAATTAGTTTTGTGTGCAGTATTGGACACATTAATTTTTTGACTTGATCATGACACTACATGAAAAGTCAAGGGGTCATCAAAGTCAGCCTCTGGGGACCATGAAGTATATAAAAATGTTCAACATTGCCATTCCTAAATTCATGTTGTTAAATATAATAATAACAATAATAATAAGTTTAATTGTAGATCACTTATCAAACAAAGTACAAAGTGCTTCACAGAGTGATAAAATTCAAGAGATCAATAAAAGATGTAAAATCATAGCAGTTGATAAGAAACAATAAAATATAACAAAGTGCACAGAACAAAAGGTTAAGCAGGAAATAAGACAATAAACATGCTTCTTTCTGTAACACTAAGAGCATCAAGTGAAAATAGACATAGACATACAAGGTGATAATTTGTCAGTGTAATGTTTACAGCTTGGTTCTATTACCCCAAGGTTTAACTGGCTAATATCTGATATTCAATAAATTGCAATATAAATTTCTTTTATTTAAACTACCACACACACACACAAACATGTCAGACACTATGATAAATATACTGTATGCAGTATATATTATTGAGAGGATGAGTACTTTTCTATTCACTAAGAATATGATATTTTTCTGATGTTTGATCTGGACAAAACATTTGCTTTTACACTATTGAATACGTCTGTAAGTGGCTATAATTATTCCAACTTTGTGAGGGAACTGAGGCTGCAGAGCTGCATCACATTGCCTGTTCAACTGTTTGTTTAAGGAAGCAAAAAACCCCTTTCAGTCTGCATTGCAGGATCACCTCCGCCTCTGGGCTTTGGCAGGCTGCTGAGTGCTGGGGGTTGATTGTCCGAGCCTGCACTAGAACAGAGCTGTGTTACGACGATCTGTATTGTTCCCTAATTTCTTCTCAGGGATTTCCTTTTGCCAGCTCCCCACACCCAACCATCCTTTTCAATGTACAGTCCTCCATCATCCTCCCTCTGTCTGAAGACCTTGCCAAAGTTTCTGGCACATGAAAGCAATTGTTCTTGTACGTTTGAGGAGACGCAACCGGCTCCTCAGACGGGCTTTTCTCCCTCACAGAAGCTCAGCTGATGGCTGGGAAGACTTCCTCCTCCTCCTCCTCCTCCTCCTCCTTTTGGAAAAGTGGTCATGTTCAGTAAAATCGGAAGCGAGGTATCTGAGTCCTGAGCCACAAAGTGACTCAGAACCATTAATATCTTTGACATGCAGGTGGAGCGAGGGGCCACATCCCCAGCCAATGAGTGTTTGAAACACGCTGAAACAGACTGTGAGAGCAAAAAGCTATTAAAATATTACCATGTGTAGGTTTGTGTCTAACAAGAGCTCTCTGGCAAGACTACAAAATGCCGAAGGTAAGCACCCATCTGGGAATCAGGACTGCGCTCCCAGATGATGCTGAAAAAACACTTTACATCCTTCTAGTTTCTGGATCATCTATTTTAGCTTTTTTTTCTTCCTTTAGTGAGGCAAGAACAGGAACACATTTGAGCTGTCGGAGCAGTGATTTGTGTTTGATCTGTAAAGATTTTTTCATGGAGCCATTGCCCAACAGGACTCATTAAATTGTGCTTCTTAAATGTGACTATTTCCTCTTCTGTTTGTTTAGTCCATTAACTGTTCAACATAAACAGGCTGAGATGTTACATTATGTCAGTTTCTTTCACATTTATGCACAAATAAATCACACTAAACTGCAATCTGTAATGTACAATAAAGCAATGCACTTCTCAATGAGCAACATAAAGCAGACAAATTTTATACACTACATACAGTGGTGTTTTTGGTTTAATCTAAAGTGAACTTTATTGTACAATTAAATGTTATTGCTGTAGTGTAGCATGTGAAACCTGTACACTTATCTTCAGAAAATCATCATAAAATTTTTTACTGCTATTTTGTTTGGTTTATTTTAAGCGATAAATCCCACACACTAAAATTCAATTCAGCACCCATGGGTAGAAAATGAAAATGGGTTGTTTTGAACCTGAGTTATTTTTATATATTATTGTTGGATTATTTACCCAGGTTGAAGCATGGTATGGTTGGAAACTGTTAAAGTCTACTCTAGCTATTTTTAAACTGGTATGTCATTATTTGTTACAGATTGTTACTGTGTATCCTTACCAGTTTTGAATGTCTCACATACATCATTTCGTAACACTAACAGTAAGTTTGAGACAGTTTTAAGGTAAAACTTGTTGTGTTTAACATGGGGTCAAAATAGCAATATGTTAGTTTGAGTAAACAACTCAACAGTAAAGTAAAACGTTACCCTAACACTGGGCCAAAACAACCAATTGATATGGGGTAAAATTAACCGAGTATTGCCTCTGTGTTATATTAATCCATTTCTTTTTTGTGTGCAGGACAGCAGAAAGGATGGAAGTAAAACTCCTCACTCTGTGCTACTTGGCTTTATATGTTTATTTATATAAAGTTACACTGGTGAGTTCAGGCTTCATCCAAAGAGATGACATAATATGGCAGAAAAAGATCATGTGTTATGTTAAGTGTTATGTTCTTGTTGTTTTCTTTTTCATTCACAAAACAACACAGACTATCAAGGTCATTTTCCATCACAAGTCACAAAACTGACAGGAGGAGGCGGAACTGCTGTCTATCTGCATTTCATATCCCCTGAAATTCTTCCTGCACAAAATGTCTTTTGGGATTAAGAGATGTGAGCGTCTGAGGAAGAGGAAAAACTCACCAAAGTGAAGCAGTAAACCTCTGCAGTGGTCCCCAGGTGGATGCTTGCCTGTCAGACATGTTAAACAGGTCCACACTGGCATTATTTCCTGCCTTTGCTTTCCTCCCCCATCTCTTCTGATGGCCTCTGACATTAATTCATCTCATCTGTCATCTTGAAAGAAAAAAAGAAAAAGTCTCCTTCTGAATATGTTGGTTTGCTCGTGCTCAAAAAGAACCACCAGAGAGCTGTACAACTGGGTCCCAGTACCGGATGATGTCAAGATTGGCGCTGACCCAAAGCCCGTCGCACTGAGAGTTCCTCGGAGAGGTCGGCTGCGCGTTGTTTTCCCTTCCTGTGCCTCCATGACATCTTCCTGCCGGCAGGAGCCTCGGGGAGCCATTTGATGAGGCCCGGGGCTCAGAGCATGGAGGACTTAGCACAGCAAATTCCAGTTAGCCTGACAAGGCTGGGGGGCGGGGGGCTGAGGGGAGCTCGGACCCCCAGCATGCACCTTTAACTGCCTCAGAATTCACTTTCCATACAGCCTCCTGTGTCACCGGAGAGCCTCCCTCTGTGATTTTGAGGACTAAGTTTGCAGTCTGATTCAGACAGGAACTTAGAGCTCAGCTGTCTGTGTGTCTGAGCTGCAATCTGCCTGTTAGAATGATCACACAGTGTCTTTTTAAGATTGGAGAAGACAGAGAGAGGCCCACAGAGACTGGGCTGCTTTTGCTTAGCAGCCTGATTTCTCAGCACTTATGAAATGTTTCCAAGTGTAAAGCAGCCTGAATTGGTTCAGAGCTATGAAGACCATGTTGAAAGAGAATGTAAAAGTAGAAAATTAACAAACATTTGCAGCTGATTGTAAGAAAACAAGTAAAATGACAATGATGATAGTAGAGTAACAAACCCAACCTCTGCTGCCACGTGAACTAATCCACTGATAAGAAATAAAGTCACAGAAAGACAAGTTATCTTCAGGATCCATGGCAGCATTGTATTTGCGTCATTTGCCACGATTGCACGTCAGCGGGGTTTCACTTCTGTGCTCCACCATGACCTCTGACCTCTTACCCCATCTCTCCCTGTCCACTGGGCCCACAGCAGTGATTTATCCCTCTGACATACCAACAGCTGTGTTGGGGGCTCCGAGCAGAGTGTGGGCTACTATTTGCCGTGACTAATCGATAGCAGACTTCAAAAAAACACCAATCGTGAGAGTTGGAAAAAAATACACACCAGTTATCGACACCAGAAACCCTGAACCTTTGCTGTGGCTCTGCAAGCTTCATAAACAAGGCCTTGGCAACATCACTGGAAACAATGGAAATGTCTGCATGTGTGTGTGAGACATCTTTCCATAAAGACATTTTTTACCAGTAAGTTGGAAAATATATATTTGCAAATGGAGATAAATGTTAATTGAGTGAAGATGTCAGAATGTAGGAGGAGTAGGATTAGGGTTAGCTGAGAACAACCAATTTACAAACTTCACCTTCTCATTATATAACAAGACCCCCCCCCAAGCTTCCAACAGACAAGGTCTGAAAAGATCATTTTCATAATTTTCTATTTTTTCATTTCATCAATATATTCTAGCTGTACATCAATGTTCGAGTCATTACTACCATCGGAAGCATAGTTTGACAGGACTAATATTCATCTTGTTTGACAGCTTTTGTGTGTTTATTGTTGTCATAAGACACTGTGATCAAAATAAGGAATCAGATTAAAAAAAGTTGCTTTTTTTTTGATAAAATATATTTTATTTAAAACTTTTGGGGGGAAAAGGGACCAAAAACTCATAAGTTTCAAAAAATGCACTGCATCTTTGAAAGGCTTATGCTTACATTTCTCAGTCAAGTATAAATAGTCTCTTCTTTGGTTCCATCTTCTGATTCATCATTTGATCCAGCATGTGTATGTGTGTGTGTGTGCTATGTAACACCAGCTTTGACTCTTCCCTGAGAAAGTCTTTGAGGATTTCAGGTTGCTGATCACTCACTGGACTTCAATCAGCGTCTCATTCGTAGAGGGCCCAGCCCTCGCATTTTAAGACAGTCTTTGCCATCCTTTATCTGGAAAAAAAAAGATGAACGTTTCAGTCATATAAACATTCAACACTATTTAATTTAACTGCACTAAAACTCATTGCATTTGTTTTCCTAAGGAAATTAAGATTATTCATTTTTATTTTCAACAAATCTACAATAATTATTATCAACTTCAACTATTTGAAGGCAAAGGCAAGAGGAAGGTATTAATTGTGATGTATATCACATTATGTTTTGCACCGCAATATAGTTAAGTAGAAGTAGAAGCAGAAGTAAAAACAAATAAAAAAAAATTACATCTGTGTGTGAATGTGTGAGGAATTTACAAAGAGCGCCAAAATATATTCAGTGCGTAAAAGTGCTTTTTTACGCTATTCAGTAAGACAAAATAATGGAGTTACCCTAAAGTGTTCACTATTGGAGAATTAACAGATGCTGCATTAGACGCAATTTTCTCAAAAAGCATGATAAAGACAAAAAACCCAACATGTATCAGGCTCACAGCCACTTTTTATATTTTGCGCATTTAACATATCAGTAGTAGCTTATTAAAGCTGCACTGGATTTTATGCCGGTACAGTAAAACAGCATTTACCCCTTTTCTCTGGTTGCTCAAACAGAAGGTGCAGATGGTCCGCGGCTGCTGCGCCCCGCTCTCTCCTTGCGCATGAACCGGGCCTAGGCAGGGCTGTCCATCACCGCCGCCGTCCCCGAGAAGAAGCACATTGGCCAGGTGGGAAATGTAGCTGGATGCCAGTCGAAGAGTTTCAATTTTGGAGAGCTTTCTGTCCACCGGCTCGGTGGGTATGAGAGTCCTGAGAGCTGTGAACGCCGTGTTGACACTCTGGGTCCTGCCTCTCTCCCTGGCGTTAGCTGCACTCCTCTGTTTCACGACCACCGCGGAGTCTCCTACCAGTTTGCGAGAAATCCTTCTTCGTTTTTCGCTGGAGCCACAGTAACTTTGCTCCGAGCTGCCGTCGCTTTCGCTGCGGTTTTCGTCATCCTCGGACGTGACAGTGAAGTCTGAATAGATCAAGTGTGTCGCCACAGGCCGCAGCATGGCGTAAGTCATCATTAAAAGTTACAAGTCCCGGTGTGGCTCTAAATCCTCTTTTAGATCAGACAGAAAACCAACTCAGGGGCTAACCCTACATCTCAGTATGGCACAAAGACTGCATATAACTACTTGTGAAAAAAAGACGTTTTTAATAAAGCTGAACGACTTTTCATGAGTGAGTCTGCAGTGGCCTATTTTAAGGATGGACGCAGACTACCTGGTCAGCTGGGCTCTTATAGCTGCATGGGAGGAGCTGCCAGCAGCACACTGTAACCTCTCAAGTGAAAAGACTCTGTATACACAAATAATAATTCATCATAAATATACCACATTGTTATAAATCATAATAACTGTACATGAATATTAAAGTGAAACATTGAAATGTAAAGTGATAGTTTAATGATAGTAATTTTTTATCACTGGAACTCACATATACAGGGTGACTGCAGAGAAACATTGGCAGTGTTTGGCTATTCTCTTCATTTACCACAAGTTAAAAGTGATTGTGGATTCTATTTCTGTTTTTAAAAAGACAGATATTGTAACTATTGCAGGCTATTGCATGACACAGTATAGCAGAATGTATTTAGTGGTGGAACATATATTCAGATGCTTTATCTATGAGTAAAGGAAGCAATATGGCATTGTAAAAATATTCCATTAAAAGTCCTGTATTCAAAATATTACTAAGTAGAAGAACATATGTTTTAACATCAAAATCTAGAAAAAGTAAAACTACTTATCATAAAGATGATGCCAACTGAGTGGAATATTGTTGAATATTATATCATTACTCATGCATTTATGTGTAAGTAGAATCGTAAAAAAAAAAATCGAAAAGTAGAAGTATAATAGTGTTATTGCTGGTCAAGGTGGAGCAAGTTTCTAACTACGGTGCTAGGTTGTTTAGTCGATAAAAATACATCTTTTATTATAAACTGATCAAATGTTTTTATGTAAAAGTTTAATCAGAAAAGTAACTGGTAACTATAGCTGTCAAATAAACGCAGTGGAGTAAAAAATACAATATATACTAAGATATAGATATAAAGTAGAGAAGTATAAAGTTACATTAAATTAAAAAGCTCAAGTAAGTACATGTACTTAAGTACAGTACAGAGCAAATGCAGTTACTTGCCACCACTGGCTGTATAGGTTTATGGCCCAGGAGCATGATTACAAAATTTAAATGTTTAAGCTATAAAGTATTTTAATGGCCTTGAGGGACTGAAGTTTGCTTTTCAGTTATTTTACAGCTTACAGTCTGACATGTTTATAGTGCTGCCACCCACTGAGGCTTGTTTTTGTTGGCTGGTAAAACACACCAATACAGTCGAGACCAAAAGGAATTTAATTTCTCCACAAAATTTCAGCAACTTGAGCAATTATAATTGTGCAAGTGTTTGGAGAACTTGTGCAGTGTGGTGTGTATGCAAATTATTTTGTTGGTCTTTCCAACTCTGAAATTTCCAATGGAAATTGTCAAGCCAAATGTAAGAAGTTCTTTCATTTGAATTTCATTTTCAGGAAGCCCGACTTAATGTTTGGCTTTGAATCACTATTGCACCGCAACAAAGTGGCTCAGACTAATTAGAGTAAATAATTCCACTGTTACATCACCATATTAAAAGCTGGCATTGGACTACACACTGAGGAGCACAGGTCAGGCAGCAGGAGAAAGTTAAATGTGAGTAAATAAACACTGAGCAGATGATCCTGGAATGGCAAGCATTTATTTGCTTGCTGCCCTGAGTTTAAAAAAACAAACTAGCGGCAAATGGATGATTTTGTCCCTCCAAGCCCCATCGGCAGACACAAGTCCCTTCCAGCCACAGCTGGCAGCACATTCAGCCTCTTCAATGTGCCTCAGCTGCATCAACAGTAAGACATCAGACACCAAAACTGTCTGCTGAAGGAGTACTGAGGTCTTACAAAGGACAGGAACCTGCAGTGGCAAAGGCTGTGTGAATATTTTAATTAGCATAATAAGTTAGTCTCTTCAGAGATTTAACTCTATGCAAAGTAATTTAAAAAATCATGTGCTTCACAAATCTTCAATAATTTGTTGTGATATCTGATGATCCAGTAATAACACATTAAAATGTCAACAAATCCCATCAACTATCATCAAATAAATTATGTTGCGAGTCTCAGATACTCTCTGCTGCTGCTGTATGGTTGACTACATTTACAAGGACCCGATCAAAACCCGGTAAATTTAGTTTGTCTTTGTGAGACGTGAACCTGTGTGTGTGTGTGTGTGTGTGTGTGTGTGTGTGTGTGTGTGTATTGACTTGGATCTAACGATAGAAGCTGAAGCGTTCTTAGAACAACTATCTTATTTCTTGGAAGTGTGAAACGCTCCTTTGGTTGTCCGGAAGAAGTAGATCCATTTATCCATACTGATGAGACGACAGCATGTTGAGTTTGCCACCCACTGAGTCCTGTGTTGTTGTCCTTCAGAGATCCAAGAACAGCAGCTCTGTCTGAGCCATCAAGCACATACAAGGAAGGTTTTCTGTGTGTGTGTTGCTGCATGTTTTACGATTCTATCGATGGCAATGTCGGCCCATCACTTTACAAGATAGATTGCCATGAAATTTTGTACAGACATTCATGGTCCCCAGAGGATGAATTCCAGTGACTTTGGTTACCGCCTCACTTTTCCTTTAGCACAACAATGAGCTTGATATTTTAGGCTTTTAGTCAAATGTCTAGACAACTAATGGATTGATGGCAACGCAATTTGGTGCAGATACTAATTTATCCAAGAGGATTATCTTTTGGTGATCATCTGAGCTTTTCTGTAGTGCCACCAGCATGTCGAAGTCTTCACTTATCTTGTGAAATATCTCAACATCCACTGGATTGATTGGCACAAAATTTGGTATAGACATTCATGGTCTCCAGAGGATCAATGCTGATAACTTTGGTGACGCTCTTACTTTTAAGCGAAATGTCTCACCAGCTGTCGGATGAATTGCCATGAAATTTGGTGCACACATTCAGTTTTCATCTAACGCCATCATCAGATCAAAATGTTAATCTTACCAATGTTACTTGCAAAACAACATTCCCATTAGTCTCAACTGTACTTTGTGTTAAGTGCACAGGTACAGTATCATATAGTTTCATTGGCACATTCAAATGTGCACAGGCAATCTGAATGAGCCTAGTTAATCTTGTTGGGCAGCAGTCACTCTGCACCTCATCCACTTTTCTTCAGCACAGCTGGTGGTGGTGGACCAGCCACTGTTTCACTCACAATTCTCCAGGTTTCCCTCTGCTGCTGACACATTTGCATACATGTACATGTCAAAGCCAAGACAGCTGGTTAATGCCTTTTCCTTCCATCCAAGCCTGGCGATATTCTCCATTTTTCAACAATCCTATTAAAAGCTAAAAAATAAAAAAAAATATTAGTGAAGCTAAAGCCAGAAATAATTTATTCTTCTGTGTCATAGATCTCTATTGTAATGGTTAAAAACATCAATGAGCAACATTGTTGTACTGGGTGATATGTTCCTTCATTACGATGAACACTGCTGACACCACTTACACAGCCCTGCTTCAGTAAATACTCACTAGAGAATTAAATCTGTGGCTGAAAATGGTTCCCAAGAAATACACAATTTAACCGTTTGCCCAAAACACAGTACAGTGCCCAGGTGTTTTAGATATCATCTGGATGCTTTTTATAAACATTGAAAAAATCAGGACCCTGTTTTTAAGATTTATGTTTTCAGTACAAAGAAAATCGTCTGAGAGCAACAGACAGGCTGGGGAAGCCAGGAGGTATTGATAGACAGGATTAATGCACTGTTGGTTTTTATCTTTTCATGGGATTTGGGAGGTCTGTTTTTTCTGTCTCACAGTGTATGGTCAGGTGAAAAATGGTTGGGGTTAAGGCGAGGCTGTACTGAGGTAAAGCTAAGGAGAAAAATATCGAAATCTTAAACACAACAACAGCATATCATGTTTTTCCTCATCCTTGTTCAGCAAAGCATTTATAGAGGGGATCTGTACTGTGGCATCATGTTTTGTTGTGTTTTCTCCAGATCTGTGTTGGAACACTGGGACACACAGTACCCGTTTTCTTAAGGTACTAAGGCCCTATTGAAAAACATAGTAGACACATGTTAATGTGTAGGTGCAACACAAACTTCCTCTGCAGAGCAGGTTTGTCTAACAGTTTTGTTGCAGGTGGGCTCAGATGTTGCTCAGAAGTCAACAGCCCGTGTGAAATACAGCCTATTGCTATCATACCACATGTATTCTTTCACAAAGCTACACAAAGATGAAGGTTTACGCGCAAGTGGTGAGGTCAGAGGGAGGATAAAGCACTGCAAATCTGGCACAAATTACACGCCTGCAGCCACCAGTAGTCTGATCGAATTCCGGATAGGAAGCTGTGAGAAGTCATCAGCGAATCAAACACCTAAACTCTTTCAAGAGGATTTGGTTGTAATACCTCCCCAAGTGGAACAAATGGGTGAGCTGGCTAACCAGAGACCTTTTTTTAAGCTTAAATGTAGACGCACTATAATGAAGAACCACAATCAGATTTGTGAAGGTTTGTATGGCATTTTTAATCTGCCACATAGATTCAGCAGTGAGAAGACAGCTGGAAAAGCTCTATTTATTAATGCTTATCACTGTTAAAACAATTGTCCATACATGAGAAAAATCTGCCATGATAAAAATAGAAAAATGCAAAAGCAGGCTTTTAAAATTTAAAACAGTGTTGAACAACCCATTTATTTTAACCTGGTTACAGTAAAAACAAACAGAGCAATTCATGTTTTTTAGTTTATGGTACTATATGGTACAGACGTGCACAAGCCAATTATGTAGGTAACCGAGTTTGATGGGGTGCCAGAAATAGAGAAATCTGTCTGTGTTCTAATAAACAATGTCACTGCAGACACTATAGCGAGTGTTTGTAGATGAATGACTAATCCTCTTTGTATCACCAAAACATAATAAAGTGAAATTTTCACCCTTGTTTTTCTCAGAAACAGACAAAAAGAAATTAATTGTTTGGCGTTTATGGAATATTTTATTGGACTTTAATATTTGTAACCCACAGAAAACAATCCACAAATGTGAACTATGAAATATTACGCAAATATTTCACTATCTACAAATATGTATTTTTACATTTGTGATGTGTAAAATCCTTTCCACAAGCGATTTCTACACACAAAACAGTTTTAGCGCATTTGCAGATTGCTTTCAATCAATTTGTGGGTCAGGTTACATTTGTAACTTCCATTTCACGCATTTGTGGAATTTTGTCCAATGTGTACTGCGGAGATCTGTAAAAAAAAAACAACCTCCCATGAGTTGTAAAAATATCCACTGCCCAGGGTCATCTGTATGAGACAACCACTTCTGCTTCTGTTGGACCACTAGACTCTACTCTGTTCAAACTTTTCTGTACAAGTGTATATACTATTGGATACTTTATCACTTTATACTTTATCTGGGGGTGGTGAAGGCACAATGGATAAGGCACATACCTTTGGTGTGAGAGACCCGGGTTCAATCCCCCACTGTGGCCCATCCCCCATTGTCCCCTGATTGCTCCAGAGGTGTGCAACCTCTGACATGTATAGCAATTGTAAGTCCTTTTGGATAAAAGCGTCAGCTAAATGAATAAGTGTAAATCTGCTGGTGTAGCTAATAAACTGCTCACACACTTACAGATCTGTGGTACAGAAAAACTTTCGTCCACAAATGCGTAAAAAGGAAGTCACAGATGTAACATGACCTGCAAATTGACAGGTAATGATCCGCAAATATGCAAAAACCAATATTATATAGCTGCAGTACCGGAGACTGCAGTTTCGGGACTGTAGTTCTTTTGCGACAAGTTTCTCGCTTTCTTTTTTCCAAGTAATGTCCAGCTTTGTCCGGTTTTTATATAAATATGAAGTAGTAGTCCGACAGAACTCCGGTGCCATCTGACCCTAACAACAACAGTGGAACCGGATGTGCACGGAAGCTAGCTGCAGAGAAGCGCAAGTGAAGATAAATCAAGTTGTAATCCCAAAAACTAAAGTAAAAAGCTAATTTAATAAAAGCAGTTAACTCTGATCTCCTCCCGCAGGCAAATGGCATAGTTGTCAGAGCAGAATCCAGACCGACTATGGGTGTTTATTTCTCTGAAAGCTGCAGCACTGCTCCCCGCACACTTCCTCGTTCTTTAACAGCTCCCTGTTGGATTGTCATTAAACCGCTCGGCAGGTCCTCTCCAAACAATGCTCCAAAGCTGCCGGTGACGTTTGAACTATCTCACCGCTGACAGGCTTTCGCAACAGCGCCTCAAGCAAATTTTTCGGCCAAGTTGAAAAATTTGAACGCCTCATTCGTGCCGCTCGGAGCTAATTCGCGTCTTTGCGTTGACTTTGTACGTAATCAAGCCGCCCAAAACGCTGGATTCGCTTTCGCACCTTAACCCTGTCTGCTAGTACGGCCGATGTGCACAGCTGTAGGGTTAACTAGTCAACATGCATATAATCAATAACTAAGTTTTAGGCACACACTCGGTGATGGTTGTGTAATCACAGTAAGGGTCCTAGAAATGCAGTTCTGGTCCAAGGATTGCGGTCCTGAAACTGCAGCCTCTGTGAAAAACAGATCCATAAATGCATAAACACTTTGTTTGTGAAATTAAAATGTGTATACGCAGTAAATTGTACACATCTGCAAATTTTATACTACTACAGTATACTGTCAGACCCATTTAAACTCTTTGCACACTAAAAAAAAAGTCTATATCATATCTTTGTTTTATATTCTACCATCATTAGTCATTGTTTTTGGTTAGAGATATTGAAAAAAATAGTCTCCTTAGATTCATGTGTCAAATTTTAAGTTTTTGTAGGGATGTGGCGGGAGAAAAACTATACTTAGCGAAAATCAAAGTCTGCTTAGGGCTTCATCAAATCTCATGAACTTTCTCATGAAAGTTAATTTGTTAAGTCATCACTGAGCAATACAACATCAAACGGTAAAAACTTCTATGAGAATTGACATGGCCCCAATCCATTTGTGAAAAACACTTCCGCTTCGTACCCCCCTAAATCCCCTTGATCTGTTTAAATCCTCAAAGATAAAGCGTACAGAACCACCCATGGAAAACGCTCCCCAAAGCAACAGGTGCAATATATTTTTTCATACCGGTGTTGCGTGTCAAAAACCCTTTGAGGATATGGTTACTTCCAGACAGTGAGAGAGCCACAGGAAGTCTTCTCACACGCGACGTTTCAGATGAGAAATTTAGAGTCCTTTAGGGCCGGTCGGTAAAAGCTGCCCCAGGTCTCCCTTCATTTCCTCAATGGCCACAAAGGGAGACTATCAAGCAACTCAAACAACTGAGCTTGCATTGTGAAGGCGCTGATGTCGGAAAGTCCTCCTCTATGTGCACTGACCTGTGATGTATACCTGTTTACCTACATTATTCTATAAACCTACCTTCCATCCTCTAAAACAGAGTTGCAGGGGAACTGACTTGATATAATAAGCAGGGAAAGTCAGTACCAAAAACAAACAGGGCATTATGAAATACATTTACACAAGATTATTCAGTACAGCAGAACCAACCATTAATATTAATGTGCATGTTTAAGAGGCAAAAAACTGCTATCTATGTTATTTACTGGAAGTGGAATACATTTTTACTCTTCGCATCAGGGACTTCAGCTTGGAGACTCAGCCATCAATCAGGTTGTTTTTACATGCATTTGTAAAATGAGTTTATCTGAGAGCACTACAAGGAAGTGAGAAAGAGCTTTGGCTTTAATATGAAATGACCTGGATTGTTTTTCCTCATTCCTCCTCTTTCTTTGGCAAAACACAGTCTGGAAGGTTACAACAGAGATCTTTTACAGAGATGATGAGTAAGAAAGCCTGATGACTGGGAAAAGGGGCAGACTTAACAACATCTTGCAATTTGACACGAGACGTTGTCAGCCTGATGTTCTCATAACGACTGGCTCCTAGAAACCATCTGGTCTATAAGCGCCATTTCCATGTACACTGTTTTTGGTCATTATATGGTGCATGCATTTACACACTCAGAATTCAGACCTATTAAAATAAAATGGAGAGAGATGTCGGACAATGCTGCGTTCACATCATGTCAATCAGGATTGTAATCATGAGCAGCCGAGTTGGAAAAACTCCTCACGTCAGCAACTCAGCACTGTTTTTAATCAGGAAATCCTGATAGCAAGGATATCTCCCACTTAGTGAAAAGATCTACAAAGTTTCAACAAACACTACAAAAGACGTGGTTACATCTAAAGTCGGAACAATGGCACTTTTCCTGTTCTTCCAATTCAGCAGACATGGCCTGAACGCAACAATATATTGTGCAAGCTGGCTCCCTGACATGGCTTACTGGGACAGTTGAATATAACAGAAACTTTGTTAATGTTATTAGTGACATCCATTATTGCGGTGTAGTGTTGCTCAGCTATATCCCCATCACATTTTCTAATGTACAAGTAAGACAACCATCATTTAAATTACTTTTTATGTGAAAGCACAACTGGAGTTTGAACAGAGAATATCTTGGTAAAAATGTATAACTTACAAAAACACACATTTACAAACACACACATCCTTTAAATTACATATATGTGGTTTCAAAAGAAAAATATCATGTATTTAACTAAAGAGTTACATTTCCCCCTGCTGGTACATCCTTTTCTCTGCAGTCCCCAGCAGTGAAAACTCTGTGTGAGAGTATGAGAGTAACCTGAGGGAAGTCTCTCCCAGGCTGTCCAGCATCACCGCAGATCAGGCGTCGACGCCCCCAAGTAAGTGCTAAGGTCTGAGATGTTTGATTTGATGAGCTTGGCTGGGATGGTCGGCATGTTCAACCTCTGATACGCAGCAAACCTGTGACAGCCTCCAAAAGAATAGTAGTAATTTCCCCCCTCTCTGCCTTTGATCCAGAGCACATCAATGGGAGGAATAACACTGATGTCTGCTGTCTCCTGGAAGGAAAGACAAACTGACAATTTATTCATGCAGCAAGCGCGGAGCAGAAATTATGAAAGTATTGCAACAAATAGTAAAAGGGCAACTACAGTATGAGTGAGTAGCTAGATGTTATTACAAACATGCTCCTGTAGGAATATTATAAGAACATCATAGGCAGAGGTGGATGTTGTACTCAGCACGTTTACCACAGTGAGAAAATACTCCATCAACAAGTTAAAGTCCTGCACTGGGTTGCACCAACTATGTGTAAGTTCAAACTTTGCCTAGTTTGAACGTAATGTCTAACTTAAGTCGGAGTTTACGTGCTACTAACGTTTTAAGGGTTGCACCAGCTGAAATACATCCAACGTAGACATAAGTTACGATTTAAATCTTACACCTAGTCCTTAATAGGTGGAAAGTCCTCCATAAAATAGTCGAGTGGTTGTCATGGCGCATCGTTTTCAAGGGGGGTTGACTGGGATCAGGAGGAGCAAATTATACCGGGCTCTTCTGCGTAACCAAACGCACACAGCCTGGATGGTTCATTGCGGTTAATGAAGCAAAATGCAGATCACAGACTGGTTAAGTTATGAAGGTATGAATTGAAAATGTAGCGAAATTAAGAGTAGATTACTGGCCAAAGAAAACACTGGATTAAATAGTAAAAATATAAATAATAAAGGAATGTGAAAAGGCAATGACTTATTTTTATTTATTTTGCTAATGTGCGTTACTTGTAACAAGTTACTAACCACCCTGCTGCAGGCGCCCTCACTACTGTCTTCAGGTAGGCTGTTAATAACTGCAGCCCAGAAGAAAAGTCTGTAATATTGAGGCACTTAGCTGAGTCTGCCTCCAGCAAACTCATATTTTTTCTCCCTTAACTTTTTAGCACCTCCTTTGCGTTGTGTGGGATGTTTTCTATAGGACTACACTAGCCACTCATAGAAGCCTAAACCTTCTCGCCTAGCCGAACTCCGAAATCGCAGAAGAAAAGTAGCAGGGAAAAAACAGATTTTGAAATATGAGGGGGACATGTCCCCCCAATGTATAATGGCTCCTTCGCGTATAGAAGCTATAATGTTACAATTTCAGCTGCCCCTTATAATTTACCGTTCATTACGGGCACCGTTAAATTACGTCTATGTTGTAGTTAACGGTTTTACCACTCAATGTCACTGTTGGACTAGCTGTAGATTAAGGTTTCATAGTTATCACCTAATCATAATTATTTGTCCTTGTTTACGTACCTTTTTGTTGGTGTTTTGTTGCTATATTTACCCATTAGCCTCTTCAGTATTGCAAAATGTTGAAAGAGAGAGAGACAAACAGATGACAAAACTGTAATAAACTCTCTGTTAAGAATAGTGCTGTTCACTGATTGGCCATGGGATGTGGAAACGGCATTTTCTGCGACGCTGTTTTGATTAGTATGGACTTTACGCCAGAGTAGCTAAGATGGACCTTAAGTCTCGGTGGTGCAACCAAACATCAACACAGCTTAAGTCTCTAACTAGTTTCAACGTATTGTTTAGTGTGGACTTTGCACCCTAACTTAAAGTAGAACTTACGTATCGCTGGTGCAACAGGCTGCTGCATTAAAAGTAAAAATACATAATTATTAAAAGTAAACTGTCAAAAATCAAAGCACGTATTATGCAGAATGGTTCGTTTCGGGGGTTTATATTATATGGATTATAGCTAATAGAGGTGGAGGAAATTTCGGGTGGTCGAATGTACACTGAACAAAATTATAAACACAACACTTTTGTTTTTGCCCCCATTCATCATGAGCTGAACTCAAAGATCTAAGACTTTCTCTATGTACACAAAAGGCTTATTTCTCTCAAATATTGTTCACAAATCTGTCAAAATCTGTGTTAGTGAGCACTTCTTTGCCAAGATACCCATCCACCTCACAGGTGTGGCATATCAAGATGCTGATCAGACAGCATGGGTATTTTCAGCTATATCCCCATCACATTTTCTAATGTACAAGTAAGACAACCATCATTTAAATTACTTTTTATGTGAAAGCACAACTGGAGTTTGAACAGAGAATATCTTGGTAAAAATGTATAACTTACAAAAACACAGGTGTGCCTTAGGCTGGCCACAATAAAAGGCCACTCAAAAATGATCACACAGCACAATGCCACAGATATCGCAAGTTTTGAGGGAGCAAGCAATTGGCATGCTGACTGCAGGACTGTCCGCCAGAGCTGTTGCCCATGAATTGAATGTTTATTTCTCTACCATAAGCAGTCTCCAAAGGCGTTTCAGAGAATTTGGCAGTACATCCAACTGGCCTCACAACCGCAGACCACGTGTAACCACACCAGCCCAGGACCTCCACATCCAGCATCTTCACCTCAAAGATCATCTGAGACCAGCCATCTCTGAACAGAGATGTGTTGCACTGCGTGATGCAAATGGTGGTCACACCAGATACTGACTGGTTTCCAGACTCCCCCCGGACCCTCCAATACAGTGAAACTGCATTTTTGAGTGGCTTTTTATTGCGGCCAGCCTAAGGTGCAATACCCATGCTGTCTGATCAGCATCTTGATATCCACGCCTGTGAGGTAGATGGATTTAGATGTTTGAGTTCAGCTCATGATGAATGGGGGCAAAAACAAAAGTGTTGCGTTTATAATTTTGTTCAGAGTAGAAAAATACATCCAGCGCTGTGATTTTAGAAATACGGAAGCTGAAACTAAAACCACCAACCAAACTCTGTCGAATGTATTTTAAATTTAATGTATAAATACATTTTCGGTATATCTGATCTCTTTACATTATGATCTGGTACCATGAATTTAATTATGGTGGGGGAAAAAATCATTTTAATTAATATATGTATGCTATTTATTGACTAAAACCTGTCAAATGTACTTTAATTTTATTATTTATTTGCTTAATCCCTCACCAGTAATCTACAATTTCTACGAAAAAAAGGAATCAACTTTTAATTTAAAAAAAAACCTGTAATATGTATGAAATCCTCTTTATGTCATTATAAAACCTCTATATTCCCAGGAATTGTTTGGCCCTGAATGTATCATATTTCATAAACTGGTCATGTGTTTAGCAGTTAAAATCATAACCTGCAAAGGGTACTTCTAATTGAGGCAAATCTTATCTAGTAAGTAAATTAAGCTGCAAATCTTCAGGTCTCTGAATGATGACCAGTTGTGACATTTTACTTTAAAAACTGTGTTAATTGTGTTTTGTTTTGTGTTATGCTTAAATGCATAGGTCTAATAATTAAATATTCAAGGTGTGATGCCATGCAAGGAAGTCTAATCTAAAACACAGAGTTCAAGTCCAAGTCTTCAGTCTCAAGTCTACAGCTCTGGTATCTTGTAACTATAACTGTCAGATACATGTAATGGCGTAAAAACAACAACACAGTTTCCTCTCTGAAATGCACTGCTGACGTATACGCAAGTACAACTATTTTGTACTTGTACTTAAGCCTAATAACGTGCCTCAACACACCACCGTACATCTTCCTGTGGTGATATAATAGGATTTAAGGAGATACTATTCAGATATGCACACATGAACCTGAAATTAATCTATTAGTGATTTTACACTGTACTGTAGGATGCATACATTTCCATGATAATACCCGTGTTACCTTTATTGAGTTCATCAGACTCTGAACTTTTAGCTCATCCAGTACCGGAGGAATCGGTCTGATGATGACGTCCATCGGGACGTTGTGGACTTCCTCGACGGTGTCCGAGTGAATCGACCTGTTAACGTGCTCCGTGCCGGACTGAGTGGACATTGTAGACGTGTTTCTACAAACCAACAGTTTCACCTGAGTTTTAGTGCCGTGCCACAAGCGAAACATTTATCTACTTTAGTCTATAGTAGACTATAGTAGATCTCTGTGTGGGTGTCTCTTCACTTCCTTGTTGCTGATTTGTATCTTCTTTACGATCTTTACGCAGGTTTGTATGCGTGGAGTCTTTAAGGTTTTCATTGGTCTACCGCGTTGTCAATCACAAATGTACGACGCCCTCCTTTGTCGGTTGGAGCTACGTTTGGCATTCAGAGAGCCAGTATTACTTTTATCTAATGTAAAAAGTTTTATTTGTTATGTCAGCATTTAGCATAAATGTTGTTAGACAGAAGGATAATTAGCATACATCAATTCCGGTTCACACATACTGTTAGCACCACTTAAACCTGCAGTAACTGATTTATTTTGTAACAACAACACAACATTGACATAACTTTTAAGTTGATATGGCGAACTTGTTAGCAGACGGTTTCTTATTTACACATCCAGCATTTAAGGAGCAACATTATCATCCATTTGGAGTCATGTTCATGTCCACCTGATGAATGTAAGTCCAATATTCACCCTCTTTTTGCTCTGTTTGTGGTTTCAAGCAACTCCTGAGGGAACTGTCTGGCTCTGTAGCTGCTAAATGAATCAGAATCAGCTTTATTGCCAGGTATGTGTACACATACCAGGAATTTGACTCTGGATTGTACATTGCTCAAGGTGTGCTTACTTATACAATAATACAAAATCACAATAATAAAAATAAAATAAAGACCAGCTAGTGTTCAGTGGGTTTTTAGAGCTTTTTAGCTGTTTGCTGCAGCAGAAAACAACCTAATGAGAGTGGTGAGAGCAAACTAAAACAGTTATGTTGTGGCTGAACGGCTAAAATAATAAATTGATACTATAAATCTCTGTAAAGCAGAGGGGAGCTGCAGATTTAGGTTATAATTATCCATAGGTTCATCATTTGTCATTTAATACATTGTTAAGATAAAAATATAGATTAGGTTATAGCTGCTGTAAATATCCTTTCCTCTACTTATTTTATATTCTCACTGTAATAGTAGAAGTTAGACCTGCAGTGTGGAATTTTAGTTTTCACCTTTTAACAGTGAGAATAATTACACAACACCGGTAAAACACTTTTTATGACAAATAGGGCATATCTGGACAATGACTCATATTGAGTTGCTGCTGTTGGCCCTACAGCTTTGGTCATTGCTGGTTGGCATAAAACTATACATTTCACTAATCACTACCGATGATCCAGCACAGAAACATCACCACAGACACTAGATTTTAAAACCTCTGTATACTGTGAGTACAGAGAGATTTACCTGGCAGGGATATTCTTAATCAGTCATTCATTTATATGTGAAAGTCCCACACTCTAGCTTTAACTCTAACTGTACATTGAGTCTTTTATGTCTACTGCAATCAGTGATGGAAAGTCACTAAGTACGTCAAGGACAGTACTTAACCTTTACCTGTTGCTGGCATTAGCTTCACTCCCTCATGGTTTGGGATCCCACAGACCCCACTGCTGCTGGTGTTAAAACAGTAAGCGTAATTGTTGTACATTTGACAAAGGTGAGAAAATAGGGACATAATTGTTATTACAACACAAAAATAAGTATAAAATATTCATTTTGTTTGCTAAAAACTAATTCACAGAAAATGAAACCTACTGAGAGAAATCCTAATAGACTTATTGGAATTTGGGAAGGATAGAGCTGCGTAAAACTTACTCCAATCACAGATAGAGAGCATGTGAAAATCCCCTGTTTTAACCGTGTTTTACAGCTGCAGTTTCTGAGACCCCAACAGAAGTACATCTTCTGAAATGTGTCATCACAATCATGTTAATAAGCGATTTTCTAGTCATGAAGTATCAAGCTGCTGAAACAATGTTAAGTGTGTTTTTGAACTGTCAAACAGAACATTAGGATACACAAGTCTGCTTCTTAGCATGTAAACAGGCCCGTATTGGAGGTAGCTGTTGAGTACTTCAAGGCATGTACATGTAACACAACACACAAACTTTACCCCTTTTGTAAGATAACTTATTCAATTCATGGCTAAAACTGTTTCTCATTAAAATTCACCCCAGCAATTAGTCAAGAAGTTGAAAAGAGCCGCTACAAGGCCAGAATCCTTTGGTGACAATAGTTTTTAATGAGGTCAGTGTTTTGTATTGTCGACTGTTGCATGATATAGGCTTCCTCCTTCAAAGTGCACTACTTGGTGATATTCTATTTTTGCAGGGATTTCAAAGAGCCAGCCAGGTTGCTGTGGTTACAAAAAAAGGACGTCTGGGCCCGCAGCACTGAACAGGTAAGTGGAAAGCTTCAAAGATATGTGGCAGTGGAGCGGAAACAGAACTATTGTTGTTTTCTCCAAACCACAGCTACAGCATCTTCTAATGAGACAATTAAAAATGATTTCTTGGACAGGAGAGGCCATTATATTGAATTATTACAAATTCTTTGAACTACAGTGGCAGTGCCTTTTATGTTGATTAATTGGTCACACGGGGATCAGTTACAACATGAAGGAGGCCTATATATAGTATGTAATCATTAACTGTGGTATCAGTACATTACATACATAAATCCGTGTAGAATAAAACAACAAAAAACACGGTAATTTAGGTGCTGCAGTGAATCTAATCAACTTTTTCGCCTCATTGTCTTGTGATTGTTTTGTACTAACAGCAACAATCTGTTTGTAATTCCCCCAACAACAACTTAGCTTTCAAAGCCACCTTACATTTCCTACTTTTTTTCTGTAAGAGCAATTTAGCTGACACCAGTATAGTGTGTATAGCTAAAAAACTCCAATTAGACTGTAATATGCTGACATTGATTGTGCAGCTGGCTACATGACTTGGTGTTTCTGTATGAATAACTACAGTATAGTAAATATGTATGGTGACATATCCCCCCCGGGCATTCACCACTTTATACAATGTCAGATTTAAGTCGCTTCTTTGCTGTCAATCAAAAGCCACATCATCACGCATCAAAAGAAATCAGCATCACACGCATATAGACATGTAAATCATTTCCAGTGCTGAGGTGTTTTTGGAGTCCCACTACACTCTGCGTGACCCTCTGCTGTCACAGCAGGACTGTATTATAGTTGCTAACATATCTCAATTACTTAGATTGAGTTAGTCACACAGGTACAGCGGCAGGTCACGGAAGAACAGTTCCCACATAATGATTTGCTGTTAATATTAGATTTCAGTCCCCGTGGGATTGTCACACTTAGAGCAGTTGAAGAAAATTACCTGCCAGCTTTCCGACAGAGAAGTGAGCTGTATTTATTTATACCTTCTCTCTTTTTTTCTTTTTACACGTTGACATGCTTTTAAAGTGATAATTATTCTGACTGCAATTTTCAGTCTTCAAACTATGGCTTTGTGATAGATGAATGTGTCTGAAATCGTGACACGGTTTAGCAACAGTAGATGTTGCTGTGTTTGCGGCTGTATGTGTGACTGATTTGTTCAGTTATGTTGATTATTCACTGGTGGCTCTCGTTGCTTAAACCTATGAAATAATTTTCTGCACTATTTCCTTCTAGTACCGCTGCCCAGAACAGGATTTCTGTTTAATGATCTTTCTTGCATTGAAATAAATTTGCTCTCTCAACCTCATCCAGAGGGAGAAAATAAGTGTTGCTTTAGAGTGAGATTATTTAGATGTGGTTTAAGTTGTAGTCTTTTTTCCATTTACATCAGTGAGTTTATTATCTTTACCCTAAAGACAGATGCAGATTTTTTTCAAACTGTTCAAGCTGAAATATCAACATGGGGAAGCAACAAAAGCATTTTTAAAATCTTATTTATCTCTAAAGCAAATGATAAAAATCTTACATCTGTAATTCCTTTGCAATACTTGTTTCTGCATGTATAGTATATGAAGGAAAAAGAGGAGCTATTTAAGGAGTGCCCTCCTTGACTTTTGCTTGAGTGCTGATGACAAGTTGGATATCTTAGATGCATAAAAATGCGATTTTGACATGACTTCAAAAAGAGAAGCATACGGATGAGGTGGACCCTCTGCCAACAGAGAGACGAGGAAACAGATGGGTTTTTACACAAACAGCACAAACATCAAGAACACTGAGTTAAAGAGCTTGGCAGTCTCACTTGATGAAACAGTGAGGAATGGAGGCACTTTTAATGAGCATCTCTCCTGTGATGCAGAATGTGAAAAGACAAACTGTTTGCTCTTAAAGGGGCAGTTACAGTTGGTTGGCCCTGACTGGTTGAACCGAATGGTTTTACCAACCTATTGTTGGTCAGTATGCATGCAGATTGGTTATAACATGAAAATTGTTTGAAAGGACATTCATGTTTTCATTTTGAAAATAAAATAATAGCCTAGAGGAGAATATCTCTACAGTTCAATTATCCAGTTGTTATCAACAACCAAAGCTTGCTGATGTTGTTGAATTGTTATTGCTGACAGTTGGTGATCAGCCAACAGATGGCGCCAGATGTATGGGTCGGGTCAGAGGGAGGGTGGGTGCCAGTTGAAGGAGTGTTGAATCAAGTACTGATAGTTTTTCTTATTACAAAGATGACATGTTGCTTTCTAAGTCACCTGTAAGCAAGTAAGAGACACCAGTTGCAACCAAAACACATTTTTCAATAGTGAACTGGAAAAGAAACGGCGAAACCCATTAAGAATATATGTTGTTTTTTAGGACTGCAACTAACTTTTTTTTATTAATCGACTCGTTTTCTACTCTGGGAAATGTACAAAAAATAAAAAATGCACAGCGCAAGTTGAGAGGCCAATGTGGTGTCTTCAGATGTCTAGTTTTGTCTGACCAACAGCCCAAAGCCAAATTAAATTATATAAAACTGAGAAGAAAATACTCACATTTGAGAAGCTAAAACCAGGAAATAATTTTTTTTATTAAGTATTATTGCTTGTTCAACAAATGAAATGATTAATCGATCATCAACATTTTTGCAGATTATTTCTAACTAATGGTTTCAGCTCTACTGCTTTTTGTCTGTCATCTTAGCAATAGAGATCATTTCTCTGTGCAGGGTAGCAGAATTTGAATAAACTCTGTGGGGCTGTAAATCACAAACATTTTCATCATCCACAATTAATCTGCAGGTTATTCTCTCGATTAATTAATTGATCTTTAAAATGTCAGAATATGGTGAAAAATGCCCATTACAGTTTCCCGGAGACAATATCTTCAAATCCTTCAGTCCAAGCCCCAAAGATATTCAGTTTACTATACCATAAATAAACAAACAGAGAATATTCACATATTAGAAGCTGGAACGAGAGAAATGTTGACATTTTTGCTTAACAAATTATCAAAATTGTTGCTGATTTTCTGTTGATCGACTGTGACCAACCAAAAGACACCAGTTGCAATAGAGATGATTTGTCTGTGCAGGGAAGCAGTTCTGTATTTGAATAAATAGAGTTTTCCTATAAATAGCATGATAATCCCCTGCGTGGTGTTTAATAGCCCTGGATTTGCTGCTAGGTAGATCTGTGCAGTAACCTTGTAATAACCCCTCACCCCATCAGGAGGCAGTCTCTCAGACAGTCGCTCAGAAGATGATGGCATTCTGGGGTCAATATCTTTGAAGTGTGAGTGTAGCACACTCAATTTTGCAGGATGTTTTCAATCATTTAGATATGAGTGTTTGGGGAGGAGGGAGGCAATGGCTGTCTGTAGAGTTTTTGCAGTGACATGCATGCAGGGCCACGTCCTCCCTACCTGCCGCCCTTTGCTGATCACTCATTTCCGCTGTTGTTACACACACAGCTCACCCACGGGTGCTGTAATTGGATTGCATAGGTCCCCATTTTGCAATCCATTGGCATGTAATGAAATCAGTTATTTACTTTCATCATAAAATCTGATAAGGGATAACATCTGCCAGGGTAAAGTTTGAGTGAGTACCGCACATGAATGTTGATGTGCATGCTGCAACATCCTGATCTGCAGCACTGTGAGCTGTTGCCATGTGAACAAGAATCAACACATGGTTGGAAATTTGCCATTTGACAATTTATTAAGTTATTTGTTTACCTTCAGCGGGATAACTAGCAGCATGTAAGAACTGAAGCATGTAACAACAGCAGTGACAATCACTGCTTTTCCTTGTTGAAGAGAGAAGAGTGCAGCAAAGTGTCCTGTTTCTAAGTCCCTGCTCTGCTCTGCCTGCTGTCTCATTATACTGCTGCTGTGCTGCTGGAGGACACTGAAGGACACAAGCGATTGAATTCAAGTGTTGTATATTCCCTGGAAACCAATCAAGAAAAGCCCCAGAATAATAATCCCTGTCCGCTGTCATGATTCATTTTTATTTTGTTCCATATTTTTCTCTGGCTTTCGAGTCACTCAGAAAGAGTAGTTCCAGCATAAAATCAATGTTCCATTAAAATTTAATGACCAGGAAGGGCTTAATAGTGGTGGAACAGATGCCTCTGCTTTTGATAATACCGACTTCCCAGGAACTCTTATTCAAAACTATATTGGTGTTGTCAGGTCTCTTGACCGTTCCTGTTCTCAGCCACCGTGCACAACTAAAGATATTGGCATTTTTGTGCCTTGTAGCGGTGAAATTAAAAGTTAGTGAATTGACAGTAGAGCTCATAAGATTCATCAAACATTGACAGCAGAGGCCACAGCTGATGGCACATTATACTCATAACTAGAATTACTCACTGTGTTAATGTTGACTAAGGACTATTCCAAACAGATTCCAGACTCACGATTTTTCTCAGTGCTTCACACAATACAGATATACATTATGAGGAAAAGGGCTAAGAAAGATATAAAAACTAAATTGAATGAACAGATTGGCCTGTCAGTGAACATCTGCAGTGTATGTGCGTGTGTTTTCTCAGTAATAAAAAGACACCCCGTTCTCCTTTAATAGAATCAAATGTTACAGTTTTAAAAGAAATAAGAGTGGACTCGTAGGGTTCTTGTGCTATTGTTTTTATTAACGTTATCACTGCTATTGTTGTCATCATTATTAATTGTAGCAGAACAAGATAAATCAAAACACCCCTCAGCAATCATGGCTTAAGTTTCTTCATACTCAGCTGTAACAGAGAGATAGAAAGAGAGAGAGTGAAGAAAGAAAGTGGAAAATCTTAATCAGTTTTTTTTTCTTTGAGGACCATATGGAAGGTTTCAAGCAGCCAACCATATGTTGAAGGCTTTTGTCATGGAAATCATACTTTTTGGCACTTTTTCATTGCGCAGCCAAGCCGGGCACATAAATAAAAGAAAAAAAGAACAGAAAAAAAATTATACAGAACATGATCAAATCTTTGAGAATACACAGAGTTGTTGTTGTTTGTAACTTACAACAGATAGCTTTTTAATCAACACACTCCCTGATTCACATGGCCACCCAGACTGCAATTGGTACCTGTATTTGTCTTTTCTTTTTGTTAATAAAAAAAAGACAACATGAATAGAAAAAGAGCAATTAAATGTCTACATGCATTGTCATATTATTGCTGTGATATATTTACAAATATATTTACAAAATCATCAAAGAGGAACAATGTTTCCCTACATCTAAATGTAGAAGTTTAGAATCAAACTGCACCTCCTTTTTTGTCATTAATATTTTCTCTGAGGACGATCTGTAATACTGCCAGTTTTAGATCCAAGAGTTCCTTTTTCAATTGATGTTTTTAATGGTCTCATTGCTTTTATCTGCCGTATTAAAACATGTTTTGGAAGTGCATTATTTTTATCCCAAAGTAAAATAGTAAACATATAAAAAAGGATCTATTGGAAGTAACGAGGTCTGCATTAGTTCAATAATACAGCGACGTGCCAAACTGGGTGTTCTGCAAGTTAATCAGGAGACAGGTGGTTTGGATGCTCTCATGCAGTGATTCAGCTGTAGCACTTAGACGACCATTGACAGGATGATGGTGAAACAGGGAGGAGAGGACGGATAAACAGAGCAGAAACGCCGTTTTTTCGCTTTGTGTTCTTTTGTGTGTGTGTGTGTGTTTTTAGGGCAGGCTCAGCATTACTGCTATCGTGTCATCCATTTGGAATATGCAAATAGCTGACAGTGCATTTGCCTGCTGGTGCTTGACCTTCCCCTTGGAGGTCGCTCACCGACTCAATTACGCTTCCTATCTGCAGTCTGTCTGCAAACACCTGTTATCCTCCTACACTCCGCCACCCTCCGCCAATCCCACTTCAGCACATCTCATCCTCGGTGCGTCTGTTTAGAGGCAGTTGGGATGGGATGAGGACGGCTGGTAGGGGGGGGACGCGAGGCAGGGACAAATGATGGGGGAGACGGAAGTGCATTATAGCGCTGTTTCATTACAGCAATCTTCAAAAAGTTTCTCTACCAAGACTGTTCACTTCGAGATCTTTTCCGTTAGTGCCGGTTAAGACGCATATACAGCACCTCCGTCCTTACGTTGTCTCAGGAGGATCTTCTCCTTTGGCACCTCATAGAATTGCTTAGCTGCTTTAAACTGCACAGAATAATTTGGCAGCAGTAGTGACTTTGAATTTAACTATATTCAAACGTTTTATTATGTCAGTGACCTAAAGGAGAATTATTGTAATCCTGTTGTGTAATATGTAACCTTCTAGCAATTGAGTCACATCAAAACTGCCCTTCAGCTGCCAGAAGAGATTTTATTTTACCTGGTTGATTTTTAAAACAAAAGAGACACAAATAATTATGATATTATAGGATAGCAGCCTTTTCCAGTCGAATTAACACCTGTAGCAGTTCTAGACTTGCTGTATAAAAGACTGAGTTTTGCTTACAGTTACTGCATCACATCATTATTGCATTTGCACCTTTGAAACCTCAGTGCAGCTAGATTATATCTACATTATTTGGCTCTCTGATTTCAACATATAGTGTTACATTTTCATGGCGATGTGTACATGCACATCAACGTTGGCCAAATTATTTATTGCCTGAGACAAAAATCTCCAGTCCCGAGGAGGCGGTGGACTTTTGGAAAACAGCAAGATGGAGAATATTTAGTGTTTAGTTTCATTGTTTCTTTTTATTGCCCTAAATCGACTGAAAACAGGACAGCTGTGATTGTTATACATGTCAATCGCTGTGTCAGTAAAGTTATTGCCACGAAAACAAAAGTAATTCTGCATTCCTTCGTTTGAAGTCTCCTAGCACTGGTACTGTACATTGTTCCTCTTTAAAAAACTAAGTCCCGAGGACTCTCTACAGTTTTCATGCATATAAACATTTTCTTTGAAGATCAGCAGCATCTTACAAGGTCGATGGATGTTCATTTTTTAAATGATAAACAATAAATAAATACATGATAATAAACAAATAAGCAAGTCTTCAATAAATACACAAAATTAGGTCAATAAATAAATAGATAAATAGGTAGATAAATAAAGTATTTACATGATAAATAGATGGGATGCATCTAAAACTTGGGCAGAGCTTTGAGAGACATATAAAACAGACAAACAGAATAATTTGACTGTCACTTTGTAACTGAGGGTGTGTGAGTCCATACCTTCACTCTGAGGTAACACTGGCGGAGGGGGAGCACCTCAGACACCGGGTGAAGATTGCTCTTTAAGACGGGACGATGCACCATAAAGGCAGCAGAGTTTATGCAAGCCACCGTGGTGGAGGAAGAACAACGCGAGTTTTCATTGCTATAGACAGGTCAACCGCACATGGCACTTACAATAGATCATTTGGTCTAGCTCCCAGTATTTTTGTCCAAGTCTGTACATCAGGGTGAGACTATGAATTTGATCAGACAGAGTGTGTGAAGACCTGTTCAACAGGCCTGCTAAACATTTTAAAATCACTGCTCTTACAGAATTGAATTGAATGACCCATGGTCTATGATCTTGTATAGCTTATTTAAAATTTGAATACCCACAGTTACAAAGATGCTTTCGATCAACAAGGGATAATAAGCACAAAAAAATAAATTTAGAAAAATCAAATAGAAAAATAACATCCGTTGAATTGAAACATTGGTGTGGAAAAAGGGGTTTGTCTTTTTAACTTTTAAAATGATCTCCCTTTTTTGCAAATACTGTCATAGTTCACATTTTCGTAAAAAGTTCATGTTGGCAGTTGCAAAAGAATTCAATTCTTAGCAAATAAAAAGCAGCATAAAAATACAAGAGGTCATTTTGTCTCTAAAAAACAAAAGAACACTGTTAGTCCTTTTTTTATGTTTTTTTTGTTCATTTTCTCATTACTATTTGCTATAAAATATCAGGAATCTAAATATTATTACTATTGATATCAATATCATTATAGTCATTGATAAAAATTCACATGCCAGGCCTCATATATAATTGTGTGTAAGTGTGTGTGATAGTGTGTGTGTGATAGTGTGTGCACACGTGCGTACATTAATGTGTGTGTGTGTGTGTGTGTCTTAGTTAATGTGTGTGTGTGTGTGTGTGTGTGTGTGTGTGTGTGCGTGTGTTTACATGCGCCCACATCCATGCGAGCACATGTTGCTTAATTGTGTACAACTATCATCTACAGTTTCTAGTTTGGGGAAGGTTGTTTGATTGTATGTTTCTGTGGACGATTAGCTACTGTGCAGGGAAAAAATCCAGCATCTTTTGAAATTGTCTTTGCCATAATCATTAGAGTTTCTTCACGTAATCTCAGTGAAAATATTGCTTTCTAAAAAAAGGGAAGAAAAAAGGCATGGAGGGCAGAGTGAACAGGGTTATTGGTTGTGAACCTACATAGGGGTTCAAAATTTAGCTTCTTCCTCGTGGTTAGTTTTCTGATCCAGAGTCGTCTTCGTCTGCAGAGCCCTTGAAGCAAGCTGACTCGTAGTGCTTGTTCAGGTAGGACTTGAGAGCGAAGGTCTTATTGCAGCGCTTGCATCTGTAGTGCTTGAAGGCAGAGTGTGTTTGCATGTGGGCGCGGAGGTTTGAACGGTCAGCAAAGGCTTTGCCACAGTGTGCGCAGGCAAAGGGCTTCTCACCGGTGTGTGAGCGCATGTGACCTTGAAGGAGCCACGGTCGGCTGAATGCCTTGCTGCACACGTCACACTTGTGCTTGAGGTCGTGGGTGAGGATGTGCATGGCCAATGCCGGCATGGACACGTACACTTTATTACAGGTGGGACATTTTCGGGCCATCTTGCTGTCCAGGCTGCGGTGCGTCTGCTTGTGTCTGCTGAGGTTGGAAGAGGTGGCGTACGTCTTGCCGCACTCGTTGCAGGAGTGGCGAGCCGTCCCGGCTCCCCTCTCCTGAGCCCCAGCGTTGGCACTGCTGCTTCTTGAGCCCCCTCCATGACTCTCGGTGTCTCCCTTCCGCCTTGAGCGCCCGTCAGAGATGAAGAAGGCATCCATGGTGTAACCCTCATCCAGCGCCTCCGATTCACCGCTGTAGAAGCCGCTGGCTGTCATGCCAGACTGGGGGCTGTCGGGGTGCTTCAGGTCGGGGTCACAGTACTCCCCTCCACTGCTCACCTGGGTGTAGAGGGGATCTGACACCGGCGAAGCCAGCTTGTGCTCCATCTTCTTCTCCTCCTGGTATACAGATGGCGTGATGTAATCCTGGATGTAGCCTGGGTAAGAGACACATGCAAACACAGTTGGCCAGAGGTTGTGATGGATAAGGACACAGTGGCATGCTGGTGATTACATGATTATCATGTTGGATGATTGCCCTTCGTAAAATGGTGAAAGAGTGAGTGGTAGCACTGAGCTAATTGCATTTTATTCCAGAACTCCCAATAGTGCTGTGATGCAGGGGAGCATGACTTGCTCAGCTGCGTTTAGGAAGGTTACAATTTTATAGTGAGAATGAGCACCAGATAGTAGATCATCAAAGAAGAAAGTCTCCTGTGTAAGAAAGTGGGTGCTAAAGCCTGTCTTAAATAAAGTAGTCTCATTGATTAGACCTCCCTTTCTTTATGGTTTGTCAGTCGTCTGTGGCTGGATATGCTTAATGACTGCTCTGTGACTCCTCCATTACAAGTCAAACAGAATCATGTTTCATCTCTAAACCTTAATACATTTCTTATTTCTCCAGACCTTTTATTATTGCAGGGGGTTAGTATTTTTTAATGTGAGTGTTTAAAATTCCACCTCACAACAGGTTGCATCTCTGATTTAATTACTGTTTGTGTTTTTGCTGCACAAAATTTTTTGCGTTTTAAAACAGATGAACTTGTTAGGCAGCTGCTTACATCCTGTAGGATTTCATGCTACATCAAGCAGGTTTAAGCATGGTACAACAAAGCACAATACACCACAAGTGATTTAAATGTACAGAGCATGATATCAGAGAGAAATAATTTTGTTGGAATGGTTCATGTCTTTACTTTCCCTCCGAAGCAGCCCAGTGCCAGAGGAGCTAAAAGGCTTGCTGGCAGCTAAATGCATCCAAACAGAACTCAATACATTCTTATGCCATGAATCTCAAGAGCTTAATAAATACTAAATGCATTTTACCTTCAGAGTTGATATTATATAGGGTGAACATACGAGTGCAAATATAAAATGTGGTGAAATTCGTTCCCTGAGAGAAATACTGCAGAAAAAAATTCCTAAACAGTGTGTGCAGCAAACGGTGGAAATTAGTTATTGACTGCTTTTTAATGAAATTCAAAGTTTAGAACTGATCAATAGGCTATCATATGTTAAATAGTGCAGCCGTGAGAACAGTCAAGTGCTGGAGAAAATAGAAATAGTGTGAGGAAAAGATAAAGCATCTGCGACACACAATAATAGTTTATTGAGCACCGTGTGCTTGAGGCCCGATAATGTGAGACGTGGCATCACACACATTGTTTGTAAGGAGGGTCACCTGTCTACAGCAGCCAGCACGCTAAAGTGCCTTCAAGAAACAGGCCATTAAGAAATCAGTTGAAGTGGTCTCTTACTACAGCGTCTCCATTCCCAAGGGTTTCTGTTCACACACCCACTTTGTCAAAGACATGACCATGACACCAGGGGACAGGGAAACACCAGGCCTGTGCACACATTATTATGCTGCACTGCATGGGTTCACTGTTTGAAACTACGCAGATGGTGTTTGTCCGAGATAGAGCACTAAAATAAACAGCAATAACACTTTAGAAATAATTCTATAATATCTATTTATCTTTTTAAACACAAAATTCTTACAACTGCAGCTTCAACAACTATTTATAGCTGCCACCACCTGTTTTACAGTCACACTGTAGACTGTTATGAATATAGCAGAAGGGCCCTCTGCACTACATGCAACAACATGGCTTTTATTTTGCTGATATTTTTTTTTAGCAAATCCAGCAGCATCAGTGTAAGCAGACTTGTTTACTATGTTTCAATTAACCAAGGTCAGACATGAAGCTCATCATTTAGGACTCGCGCTGTATCAGCCTTTACAGCTCATAGACTCATTTCTCTAATGCAAAGTAAGCATGTAATTAATGGACCCTCTCAGCCACCCCTCTTTGTTGTTCGACAGACACTCAAGTTAAATGTCTCCACAATGGGGGGAAAGAAAATCTGCTGGCGCGACAGAAGTGCTGATGTTAGGTATTTCAGCCTCGCTCAGAATTCTTTTATTTTGCTGCTCTCTTTATTTTTGACTCAGCATGAAAAGGATGATTCTTTTGTTCAAATTAAACGCCTTTTCTCAACACAAATGTAGTGCCTTATCGTTCATTTCTTCTTTTTGAGGTAATGCTTATTTTTCGTGGTGTTGAACAATGGATTCAGGAACAATAGAGAGTGACAACTATTATACAAAAGGATTCTTTAAAGATCATATGATAAAATCATGCAGCAGGAAATCTAAATAGCATTACAAGCAACAAAATATGCATGGTAAATATATAGAAAATGCATGTTTTTATTTCTTGCCATAATTCTTTAGTCTTTACCCAGTTAGTTGTTTTTAATTTAGCAAACTATTAGAGTTAACAAGCCCATCCAGACATTTTTGTTTATTCCACCAATCCTGATCCATTTAAAATTCACTGAGCCTTGTTATTGACACGGTTGAATAACAGGTGGGCATTGTCACAACATTAAGCTGTGGTCACTGTGAAAATATCATAACAAATCATAACAAAGAGACGCATATGGCCCTTTAAACGTGGCCACAAAATGGAAGCGGCGAGCTTAAAGCGGCCCGTGAAAGTGAAGGTCGTGTCTCCGCTCTGAGCTTACTGTGGCCGGGCCGTGTGTTGACCACAGTGCAGCTATGTGCCTTTCTTCATGTTTACTGTACAACCTCTGTCACGTGATCAGCCTCATTGCTGCCCCAAGCATTTTTGTCTCCTTTTTTCCTTCCCTTTGCAATCCCTTCAGCCCAACTCCCCACCTCCCTCCTGGCTGTAATGTACAGTGTGTTGATGTCTCTTGTGGCGACGATAGGCCTGCATGGCTGAAACTCTAACCCCTGCTAGTTTTCAAATGCCCGGAAGGAAGAGAAAGATGTAGTGGAGCGATGGGGGTGGGGAGACTGTGCATGCTCCATTTGGATGGGAAGAGGGGGGCAAGGGAGGATTGGACCGTGATGGGAACTCAAGGACAATAACAGCTAAGGACAAATGTATCATCCGATACTCATCTCTCATATTCATGAATTTTTTAGTCCACATGATGACCAGATATAGTCAGCCTATGTGGGAGCAGCCAGTACAGGCTTGGTACAGTCATACAAATACGTAACAGGAGCTTCTCCTGATTATACACATGTTTTGTTCCCTATTTACATAAGCTAATCCGTGGCTTTGACCTGAATTGTGTCTGTCCTTCACTGGAGTCAAAAAACAAAAGTCTGAGGGCAGGGAGATGGGGGTGGGGTGCCTCTGAAGAGGATTATTTAGGATATTGATGCAAAAATCAGCTGGTTGCTTGTAACATCTCACACTAATTTACACACTACAGCATGTGATCAGCTAAAGCAAAAGAAAATCTTACCCAACACAAAAACAAAAGAGGATGCCATCTGTGCTAAGTGTGGAAATGTCAGACATGCTGAAATCAGCACTGGGGCTTTCTACAGGCAGGAGTGCTAGCACATCTTTAACTGGACCGGGGCAAACCGGAGGCATGTTAACTCACCATTCTCGCTGAGACGAACGCCAAGGCTGGTCACCGAGTCTGTGATGGAGCGTGCAAAAGTGAACGAGTCGTCCAGGTGGTGATGATGATTGGAGGTGGCATTGGACGAAGAGAAATCATCAAGCTTGATCTTCTTCACCAAAAATGAGCGGGGCATGTTTCAATGGATAAAAACACAGAGCTGAGAAAAACGCATGAGCGAAAATAAAAGACCCTCTGAGGAAGCACACGAGCAGAGCTGGCTTGACAGTAATCCTTGTGGTTAATGTGAAGACAATTGCCAAAAACATAAGATAAGAAAGAAAATGGAAACCAGTGGAGAACAAGGCTGACGGCAATGCTGTGTGATACTCTCTGGCTCCCCAAGCTTCCCCCAGAAAAATAAAAAAATAAAAAATAAAAGCGATCCTGTTCAGCACTGGATAGCTCCTGTGATGCAGCAGGCTTAAGGGACCAGTGAGGAAGAGAAGAGATGGAGACAGACAGAGAGAGGAGGGAGAGAGAGACTGTCAGACTAGCTGAGATCAGCAATCACGCCAGCCTTTATATGGGGCACAGGCAGTGGAAGATCAGGTGGTGCTGCGAAATGGAGCTGCTTAGCTTTAATCCATCAAATGTCCCCGGGGACAAACATCAAATTACTACTGAACCGTCTGTGCATTCGCACACAGACTGAGGAGAAAGAACACAGCCAGACCCCCACTGCCCCCACTGCTGCTCCCCCTTCTCCTCCCCTCCCCTCTTTCACCCCGCTTATGCTCCATGCTCGGAGGAGGAGTAAAAGAGGAGGGCAGACAATGGAGATGTGGATGAGAGCACACTCAGTGTCCTGTCCCCCATTGTTTTCAGATGAAGTGGCACAGTTTATGTTTGCCTTGTACAGGCACTGCCTCCCTCATGTCATCTCTGTTACCTCAAACAGCCTCAGATCTTTCTGTCCCTTCGACACACTGCACTGTACTCGCATGTTGTGAGCACACATATAGTACAAGAGAGGTTATCTGAGCGTCTGGGAGTGCTGGACCCTTTTTTTAAAAGCTGCACTGGATTCCAGCACTGTTGACGAGCAGGCTATGGGACGTACTAGTGCTGCACAGCTCAGCTGGTCTCTCTGCCTCCCCATTACCGCTGCACAGATGTGTGTCCTGCCATGCGTGGCAGTGAATTATCTGATTAATTAATTACATTTTTTTTGATTAGGGTGAAATCTAGAATTAGATCTGTGCTTGCTAAATTGGCCAGATATCTATGGGTTGGTTTGTATTTGTGTGGACTCATTACCTAATGTTATGAATTTTTATGCTAGATTATACATTGTGTTTTTTTTTTATTGAAGTCTTTTCTTGTTCGAATAATGAAAGTGAAATATTTATACAGAAAATTTTTATCTGGTGGTAGTTTCTAAAAGCAACAGTGGAACAGACATGATGCACCTGTTTGATTCCCCACCAACAGGAAACACTTGTTTGATTAATTAATGTCTTACAATATTAAATAAACAAATTTAACAACTATTAAAGGAAAAAGCGCTTTTATTTCTGTTATATTGCACAGAATTTCAGTGGAGGAATGGCAGGCACCGGAAAATAGTGCAGATCTATGTGTTTATTCTATTCTGTTCTATTTTGTGGCTATTCTGTTTATGTGGCTGAGCAATAATAGTGGTGGTAAGGTAATTGTGATAGGAAAAAAGCACTGGAGGAGGGAATTCTCCATTCTAGTATTTTTTTTCATTTTTGTAATGCATTGCTAATTCCTAATTTGCCAATTATACGTTTTTTTTGTTTTGTCTGTAAAATGTAAAGAAAATAGCAAAATGCCCATTACAATTTTCCAGAAACCCAAGGCAAGGCCTTCAAAATTGCTTGCTTTGTGCGTCCAACAGTTAAAAAACACAGATATTTAATTTTTACAGTCAAATAAAACAGACAAAAACAGCAAGTCTAGTTTCAGCACTAGTTCTATTAGCTGGATTAATTTTACCATTTTTTTTGTAAAATGTCAACTGTTAATATACCTTTCTGTTCTGTACAATAAGTAAGTAGCACTGTTAGATAGATGCATCTTGGATACAGTGTTGAAAGAATATGTTTCTAATCCTTCCAAAAGACCACAGTTTTGTTTTGTTGTTTGTTGTATTGTTTTTGAATGTAATTAAATCTATAATAATCTATAAAGGTGCTATAGATTTACCAAGACGTTTAGGGGTGCCCCCATCGCCCGGGACGCTCTAAATCATCCCCTCCCCTAACGGTGCCCCTGCTGCTCGGACGCGGCACGTTTCAGGAGGGGAAGGTGTTAAATCAGGGAGGTTAGGATTTATCACACGTATGTGAATGTACATTACAGCACAAGTTCACGTCGCTGTCACCAAGCCAAGCTCATAGTGCAGAGGCAAGGACAAGAAAGGTCAGGGGAAGAATCATTGTCTAAAATGATGAGCTGTGGAGAGGTTTTTTTGTGGTGAAATGTTTTTTTAATAAACACTTCATTTCTCATATATACAGTATATATAACATATACACGCCGTATCGTAGTATGTATTGATAAATGATCTTAAATTGAGGAAGCCACCTGTAACTGGTAAAGACATCAACAAGCATGATTACAGTATAGTGTTAGATTACATTTTCTGTGCTCAGGCTTTTTTCTGCTGAACATAATCTGCAAAAATAATTATTGCACAGTTCCATCACACATGAGTTTTACTGAAAAATTAACAAAAATTAACTAAAAATTAAGTAGCAGCAAGTTAGCTACAGGTTAGAGGTGAATTGTGACAAACAAAAGGAAACGTGCTGTGATTGAAACATCTCAGATTACTTATTTCCAGCAGCAGGCTTCCTCCTCCTCCTCCTCCTCCTCCTCCTCCTCATCATCATGCCGGAGCGCTGGTCCACTTATGGCCCCCAGACTCTCTCTGACATGTGGTCACTGCCTCGGGATGTTACCATAGTGACAGACCCCCTCGGGCTGGAGGAATGGTTTTTACTTTGTGGAGCTGGTGTGGTGGCTTCACTCTCAGATTGGTGGGGGGGGACAATCAGCCTCATTGACATCTTGTATGGCCCTCCAGGGTTATGGAGATTACCTGGCCAGCCAAATGAATGAAGTCAATCTAGTTTATTTGTTCCTTCACACTGTTCCACAAGAGACATCACCGACAATTACCCCATCTCCAGGAACATTTATTAACATACAACATTATTTACAGACATGTATGTTTAATCATTTAACTTCCGCTAATTGAGACACCTGACATAAAAAAGAGTTACTAAACAGAGAATATGATTTTCACTTGGATTGTGATGCATTAAACCTGAAACTTAAGTGTCTTATACTTGGCACTGCTTATATAACATCACTCTGAGCTTGTTGGGCTAGGTGAAGAGAAGCTAAGAGTCCATTAAGCAGAACCATCTATAATTCACCTCTCTCTTGCTTACTGGGTCACTTGAATGAGGCTTCTTTTTTTTTTTGCTGCTACAGCAGGAGACTGTTGTGCTCTTTGGAAAGGCAAGAGCTGCTGATGGTTAAAAAGTTGAAAATAGAACATAAGCAGGCATTTGGTGCAACAAGTATTTATTTTAAAAAGAAATTTGTGTTTTTGTTTCATTTAGAGACATTTTGTGGCAGCCATCATTCAAGCATTTGGTACAAAAATCCTTTTTAAAACATTTTTACACAGACACTGATCAGACATGGCTCAGGGAAGAAGGTCATGAAACCAATATTTACATTTTACTGTAGATTCCCAGTTCAACAAGAAGTCTTAATGGACCATAACTGCCTCCCCAGCCGTACTGTATCTAATGCTGTTTGGCAGATAGTTCAGTGTATCACTCATGCCCTATTTGGCTTGTGTCTGCCTGTTGTCCTGTATGCATCTCGGAGCGTGTGTGCATTTGTTGTCCATGGGCAACTGTTCAGTAAATAGGGCAATTAAGTGTGAAAAGCAGAAAGTAGCTAGCATGTTCCTATCTCTTTGGTGGGGGAGATAATTTATGCTAATAACATCTCTACCGCTCAAGCTGCCCAAAAATGATAGCAGACCCTTTTGGCTTCAGAAGAATCTTTTCATCCTCTTGGAGGAAAAAAGTGGTTTCTCAACACCTTGCAAATAAGACAGCTGTGTGGCAGTGAATGAATCCCTCTCCCTCTTTCTCTGCCTTTCATCTCCAGATGATAATCTTTTCTCCTTCACTGTCTTGTATGGTGCATGTTTGTTCTTCATTTAGACTGTGGAATACTTGAAACCTAGTTTCCCCTCCGTCTCCCCCTTGCTCTCTCTTATAGCCTCACACCCTGCACACAATATATCATATTTTTCCTTCAAGAGCCGTCATAGGAAGTCGCAGCATGTGTGAATGTATTACTGTAAATAGTATCCTATGCATGAGTGATGCTTCTTAATAACACTTAAACTCAAGCGCGGTATGCTGTTCATGTGGCATAAATTCCTCTATCATACTGAGGGGCACAGAGGCATTGGGTGGCTGTGGAGAGCAGGGGCCATGATGGCAGTTCAATAAATAACCTCAGTGAAAGTGGGAGCAATAAACCATATGAAATCTCTACCAGCTACCCACTATCATGCTCTAGTGTCAGCCACTAAGAACAAATGTGTCAGCCTACAAGGCTAAGAACATTTCTTTTATGCAACAGCAAAAAGAAAGCCAGATGAAAATGTGGGTTAAACATTTGGTCCTTAAGGAAGAGTTTGACATTTTGGGAAAATCACTTTTTTTCTTTCTTTCCAAGTTTGTTGAGAAGATTGATACCACTCTCTTGTCTTTATGGTAAATATAACGCTACCAACCGGCAGCCGTTAGCCACTTAGCTTAGCACAAACACTGGTAACTGGCTGAAACAGACAGACCTGCTATTTTGAAACAAAATCCGTTTACCAACACCTGTAAAGATCACTGAGTAAGACATGTATCATGTTTGTTTAATCCATACGAAAGCCAAAGTGTAAAAATTACAATTAGCTGTTTTATAGCAATCAAAAGAATTTGATTTAAATCACTCTCGTAACTAAACCCTGCCCATATGCTTTGTGACTTTAAACCTGCAATAACAGATTTTATGGCCACTAGGGGACAGCAGAAACAAGCTGTGAACACAACATCGACATATCATCACCTGCCTGCTGCCGCCAAAAACAACACTATGAGATTGGTGAAAGTGAACGAAAACAGTAAAGTTGTGGCTGGACAGGTAAATGATGAACTGAAACTCACTGAACTAAAGCCGAGGGGAGATGCACATTCAAATGATAAGTCTGTCACTATGAGCGACCCCTTTCACATTATTGTTTGATGCATTGTTATACAAATACCATTTATAGCCCACACCTGACATGGACCAACAATGCATTTTGTTTTTAAATTTGAAAAATAGACCAGAACGTAACAAAAAATTAACAGAGCCAAGTTAGCAGTTATCCCATTTCCTTTCTTTATGCTAAGCTAATTTAGCCGGCTGCTGGCGGTAGAGTTATACTTACCGTGCAGACATTTGAGTGGTATCAATCTTCTTATCTCACTCTCGACAAGAAAGCATATAAGAAATATCATATAAGCATATTTCCCACTTCGCACTTTTCCTTTAACTTGGAATAAGTTTTCTGTGAAACAGGATT